AAGAGAAAAGGGCCATTACAGACAAGAGATTAAATTTTGCATCTTGCCTGAACAACGCTCTACTATGCCTAGTTGGCGGGTTGGTAAAGGGCAGAGCAACCGTTCGCAACAATCGCTCGATTCTGGCCTCCCCCCAGCGGCAGCAGCGACCGGCGGCACGCTGGAATCCCAAGGGGCTGGAGGAGCACAGCCGCCAGCACCACCAACAGCGGCGGCCGCATCAGCAGGCCCAGCGCCAGCGCCAGGGCAGCAACAGCAACAGCAACAGCAGCTGTCACCGTCAGCACCACCACAACCACAACCAGGCCCCGCACAAGCGTTTGCCTCGGGCGACCTGCACAGCAGCCACATCGACAGCGTCGCAAACCGCACACCAGTGACGGCCCACACGGCCTCCTTTGTTGTCGACCCGCGCCAGCAGCAACCAAAGGATTTCGAACAGGTCGCTCGCAGCCAGAGCCATCGTTTTCCCCAGCAGCAGGCCCACTCGCCGGCCGCCTACCAAGCTGCATCCGGCTCGCTCGAGGACCTCTCGTCGTCGGCCTTTGCCCAGGCCCGGTCACCGCTGCTCGCACAGGGCCCAACGTCCCCTCAACAGCAGCACCTCCCACAGCAGCAGCAAGCCCAACAGCAGCCCCAACCAGAGGCCCGCCGCAGCACCCGGAAGTTGATCAAGAATATCTTTCAGCCGCAGCACCACCACCAACAGCCCTCAATCGACAACGGCGCCCAGCAGGTTGCCCGCCGCCCTTCCCGCGTGAGCCAGCCCCAGTCCCCGTCCCCGACCCAAACCCAAACCCAAATCCCTCCCGCGTCCGTCTCGCAGCTCTCGGTGGACCAGCCGGATTGGCAGCAACAGTCGTCAGCCCCGCCGCCGGCCCCTGGACTCCAGGCTGTGGGGGACCCTCGCCCGCTGCAACGCCGGCCGTCGGAACTGTCAGACTCTAATCGGGACCTGCTTCACCACCACCACCGCCAACAGCCGCAGAACGCGAATTCCCACGAGCCGCCACATCCCGCCATCCGCCACGTCCAGACCGACACGGTCGTCTCGCCCTACGGCCTCCCCCGCACCGAGAACCCCGCAGGCGCCTATCATCAGCCTCACGCCCAGGTCCTTGTCCCGGCCCAGCAGCCCTCCCCGGACACTCAACAACATCCCTACGGCCAGGCCCACTTCGATCCCTCGCAGCAGCAGTTTCAATTCCACCACCTCCAACAGGGTCAGTACCAACAGCAACCGGGTGCCCCCTCCATCTTCACCGGCGGCCTTCTCGAGCCGAGCAACCAGCACCGCAATCCCGAGACCATCTCGCAGTTGTCGCACGACTCGCCCATCGCCGACACGGAGCCGATCCCCATCAACCTGCACTCGGCGCAGTCGTCGCCGGCCGTCAATTACCCTCCGCGATCGCACGAACTTTTGCAATCCGCGTCCCAGCCCCAGCCGCAGGGCCACATCCAAGGCCAGAGCCAGGCTCAGTCGGTGCAGGCTTCTGCAGAATCCCGCCAGGAACACCAAGACCAATTCGGTCAGCAGCAGCAGCACCAGCAACAGTACCAGCAGCACCAGCAACAGGTGAATCGTGAAGACGATAGCATGGTGCCACAAGCGCAGGGCGGCCCGCCGGCTCCGAATCGCAGGTCGACGGAAACAGAAAAGAACATGCGGGGCCAGATGGACCCCCCACCCGGCCCGCCTCCTGGATATAGACACAACCAGACACCGTCAGGGAACCCGCTGCAACCGCCTGGTTCCAGCGGCCTCAACCAGAACTATCGCCCAAGCGGTGGCCAGGACCGCCAGTTTGACGGGGCCACCCCAGAAGGCAGAAATAGCCCTCAGCCGACGTCGACGAGCGCCGAAACGCCGGCTGAGAACGACAAGGCCTTCAAAGAGCTCTGTATGTCTACTGGCATCTCCTTGACATCTCTTCTACACTACTCGTTCCGCTATTCCCCTTGGCTTGTTCGCTGTGCACGCATAGTGCCCCCGCTGCGACAAGCCTGGTTTGTGGCGGCGCCATAGTGGCGTGACGTTGGTATCGTTATCCCTGGCGGACGCTTGCTGACGAATGCGCGGATGTGTGACAGTGACCAAGTACAAAAACGTCAAGAGGCTTTACTTCGACGGCAAGAACCAGATCGAGCTGCTCAACGGCCAGGTGGAACAGCTACAGAATGCAGTTGCGAACCAACGCATATCGCAGTCTCGTACTTCACTCGACGACAACGAATATGCAACGCGCTTCAACCGGCTCAACGGCGCCATCAACAACCTCTCGTTCAACATTCGCAAAGACTGGGTCGCCGTCCCGTCGTTTCTGGACGGCTATGTCAGCCCTGATGCGTTGCGGACAGGAAAACAGGAGATGACGGCGGCAGGGCGAGCCGCAATCACATCTTGGGTCCTAGACTTTGTCTTTGATCGGTGTTTCCACCCAGGGCTGGACCCGTCGCTTTCGTACAGCCTGAAGCAGATTGAGCAGAACATACGCAGCTTCTCCTACACCCTCAACAGCCATGAAGAGTACGAAGCTCTTACATCAAAAGTAGTAAGCTGGAGGATGGCGACACTAGAAGGGCTCCAGCCCGTACTGGCCTCCGCGCAGAGCGCCGACCACCGGGTTACCTTCACCACCGAGGCCGCGCGCAACCTCACCAACAAGCTTTTTGACCACCTGACGAACCCACCGCCGACAGGAGTTGATGGTAGTGTATCAATGATAGTCGAGCTGGCCGTCGGCATAGCGTCCAACATGCCATTGGAGAGTCGTGACGTCGCCATCACATTCCCGAGCCCAGGATCACCGATGCAGCCCAACATAATGGAGGTGGAGAAAACTACAGGTCTTCCGCCACTCGAGACGCGGCCAACCGAGGCGGAGAGGGACGCGGACACAGAGGAGGAGGAGCGGGCTGGAAAGGACGGAGGCGGTAGGGAGGCCAAGGGGGCCTCGAAGTCTAGTTCACGCGCCGAGAAGGCGGGAAAGAGCGGTAGGTGCATGACACTTGCATACCATACCTCCCCAACGAAACTTTTATGCCGTCTTGTGGTCACCTCATCCGCTAACACGGCAAGCCAACATGGCAGCTTCATCCTCAACCTCGAACCTTCCACCAAAGGATGCGAACAGAATCCGCTTCGCTGGTTTCCTCGCAGTCGAAGTCCGGGGCCGGCAGGTCTTGGTCAGGGCGCCTGTTTGGACGATGGCCTAGTCGAGCTAGGTCGCAGGGCGAGCAGGTTCGAGCGTGGAGAATGGGAAGAAACATTTGCGTGTGATATAACGAATGATTTTGATGAAGGCAGCCTATTATTCTTCGTTCCCCTTTTTTTCACCTCTCTTACCTATATACCTTTTTGTCTCTTATTTATTTCGCCCTTCGCCTTTCATTCTCCCATGTTTCTCACCAATATTCTCTTTCCTGACCCATTGTTCTCGATGTGCCGCAGAACGCGCCGATAGCTTCCCAGAAAGGCAGCCTTCGTTGCTGTTCTGTGTGCTGCGCACCGCCAGGCATGGGGTATTGCTTGCTAAAAGCGAATTACACCCTGCGAGATTCAGGGGTTTGTGACACCCGTTCTGCGCGATGACAGTTCCCGACCAGAGAGGCTACCACGGACGACAGCCAGAAGCAACACAAACTGTGCTTTCCCTTGCTGTTGTCTGGCGCATGTGTCAAATGTACTGCATGGGGCTGCTGTGCTGTTGCGTCAGCCGAGAGAAACTTGGCGGCTGACCGCTTTCAATCCGCCCCGCCTCTCTCGAAATTCTGCCGCCCCTCCAACCACTGCCACTTCCGGGACTGATATCCCGGGTGCGCTCCCCATAGCTGGTACGGGCTGAGGAAATCGAGCTTGCTTGCTACCTGACCCAGATCTGCAGAAACCGCACCAACGGCCTGGACGAAATAACTTCACGCCGAAAGCAACCAAGCTCTTTCAGTCAGCCAAGCAAACAAGCGCGTGCCGCACCCCGTTGCCAGCCATGACGGACGCCACATCAAGCAGCTCCAAACCCGAGCACCTTGCGCCATCCAAACTTGGCACCAAGGAATAGTCAGTGCCCGTCGCATCCGACGGACAAGGGGGGTGGGGAGGAGAGCCGTCGAGCAGGAGCCCGCGCGCTAACCGACTCTGGCCATCCTTGCTGCCTGGGAACGGGAGGCACCGAAACCAACAGGACTTTCTCGTCGCATTAGTTGGGACGCGCTCTACAGCACCGAGATCACCAACCACGCCTCCAACCCGGCCGACATCGGCACCGTGTGGTTCGACGACTCGGACGCCGAGGCCAAGATGGTGACGTTCCTGGGCCGGCAGGCGACGTCGGCGGCGGCGACAGTGACGGCCGACGCGCGCCTCGACCGGGCCACGACGTCGTTCCTGGACCTCGGCACCGGCAACGGCAGCCTCCTGCACGCCCTGCGCCGCGCCGGCTGGGCCGGGCCCTGCCTGGGCGTCGACTACAGCGCCGCCGCAGTGGCGCTGGCGCAGCAGATCGCTGCGACCGGACCGGAGCAGCGCGACGACGATGACGAAGACGAAGATGACGAAGACGACGGCGCGGCGGCAAGAGAAAAGTTCCCGCCGAGCACCAACCCGGTCGAGTTCGCGCAGTGGGACGTGCTGGGCGGCGCCCTCGACGGCGGCGGCGCCGCGCGCGCGGGCTCGTGGGACGTGGTGCTGGACAAGGGCACCTTCGACGCCGTCTGCCTGAGCGCCGACGTGGACGCCGCCACAGGCCGCCGCCGCAGCGAGCGCTACCGCGCCCGCGCCCTGCGCCTGCTCCGGCCCGGCCCCGGCGGCCTCTTCCTCGTCACGAGCTGCAACTGGACCGACGCCGAGCTGCGCGCCTGGTTCGAGGGCGGCGGCGGGGATGGCGACGGGGATGGCGGTGGTGATGATGATGTGGATGGTCATGTTGTCGACGGCCGCTTCGAGTTCGCCGGCCGCGTCGAGTACCCGTCCTTTAGCTTCGGCGGCGCCAAGGGCCAGACCATCAGCACCGTGTGTTTTGTCAAGACGGCCGCTGTCGTCTCGTGACCTCAGATGTATGCGTGTGTGATTTGGGAGAGAGAGGAGGGGGGGGTTCTTCCTTTGAAGCGTGCCTATCTCAACTCGTCCCATTCATTGTTCTTCCCACAAAGCGGCCAGGCCAGGTTTTATCCCCGCACCCTGGAGGGTGTGCATGCACGCACGGATAGCTCCTGTTCTCTACCTAGGCACATATGGGGACCCAGAGCGTCCGCGGCACTGCGGTGTGCCCCGAACCCCATATAGTTCGAGATATCTGCGATGCATGGACGAATATGCTCTGCTCCGATGGGGCTTTCTTGCACCGACATCATCCTGAGCTGACATGAAAAGATTTATCAATGCCCGAATTATATTATCATGCCTCGTGAACCCTTCTTGTCTTGATGCGGGTGGGCTGCGTTCCTTTACCAACTCCACGTCTTCGTCCATGTCCTCATGCCTCACGTTCCCGCACTCAACGGCCTTGCCCTTGTGCACACTCACCAATGGGCTGCACTTGCCGTTGGCGGCGCGCTTTGACTGTTTGAACGCAACCAAGGCTGGCCCTCCTCCACTGCCAGAAAGGTTTACTCATCTAAAAAGAGAAAAAAAAATGACAGAAAGGTAATGGAGACGACACCTCAATGCGTCACATCTAATCATCAACGTGACCTGAAATACAACCAGGGGCCACACACGCCACCATTCGCTACTGTAACCCAAGCCTGCAAGCGAAACGAGACAGGAGGGTCTAACGCAAGGTGATGCTGGTGGTTAGCTGCCAGGCGGAAATCTATGCCTAACAAGCTCAGGAACAAACAGAAATGGGGCGGTAAAATGGAGAGAAAAGGTTAAGACATAGGTGGGGAAGGAAGAGACCACGGGGGCGAACAGAATTGCTTCATTATGACTCTTCTCGGATCTATGGTGAGGTATTCATAGGCTCGCCTCCAGGCAGGGGGCCGGAAGCAGCCGCGGCCGCCGTTGTGGCGAAGTATCGAACATCAACATCGTCATCCTTCTGCAACTTCTCCAGGCTCGGCATGACACGCTGCTGGATGAGCTCGGCGCCGCGGGAGGAGGGGCTGAACGAGGCGCCGGCCTTCTCGAGTGAGTAGATGGTGCCCTGCTCGGGCAGCCGGCGGAGCACATCAACCAGCACCCCATAGGTCTTGGCAACGTTGAAGCGGATGTTGGGGATGTCGTCGACAACGAGCTTGTCGAGCATAGGCAGAATGTTCTTACCAATCACATCCATGCTGACAACCGTCGCCAGTGTCTAGTTATTTCACACCAACTGTCAATCAACCGCACCCTGGTTATCCTTCCAAGTGAGGTCGCTCAAGAGAAGCACTTACAGTGATGGCGAAGCATGTCGTCATGCGGTACAGATAGTTAGGGTGGTTGCCCATGGCCATGACCTTGGGGATGATGGCTTCGCTAGCCCACTCGACGCCAAAGACCTCGGTAAGTTTCTTGAGGTTGTGCGTGGCCGCCTCACGGATAGAGAAGACGGTGTCTCCGAGCCAGCTCATGCACAGGCTGCTGAGCTTCTCGTCGAAGAACTTGACGCCGAGCTGGCTGGCAAGCAGAGGAATGTACTCGATGATGGCAAGTCGGACGCGCCACTGCTTGTCCTCGGCGAGCTGGACAATAGCAGGGAGCAGCGACTGGGAAAGCAGGTCGATGCCAATGACTGCAGCACTGTCGTGTTAGCGCGAACACCGGATCGGCGCATGACCGAGCGGTAGGGATAAGGGGGAAGGCTCTAGCCCGAGCAGGCCAAGCCAAGTCGGGTAGACGCCGCACTAACCCTTGTTCACGAGTTCAAGCTTCGAGATGATGTGCAGCCGCACCTCAGGGAACTCGTCCTTGAGCATCTGCAGGAACATGGGGAGAAGGTGATCGATGGTCCTGGCAGGGGAACAAACATGTCAGTACGGAGCCTGTGATTGCTGTCCGAGCCCAGTCCGCCTATCACCCTTCTGCTAGGAGAGCCATGTGACCCAGACAAAGCCCGGGGACAAGGGGACGAGAGAGGGTGGGGGCGCGTACTCTTGCTTGCCGAGAATGGGAGCCAGGCCCGAGATTTGAGTGCCGAGGGCGGCGCGAACATGTTGCGAGCTGTCCGAGACGAGGTCCTCAATGCTGCCCATGATCTCGTTGAGCAGTGTCGTCCGCTCGACCAGAGCACAGAACCCAGGGATCTGACCGGCGATCGCAGTCCGGACCTCGGCCTCGTTGTCCTTCAGCAGCTTAACGAAGGCGGGGACCAGGTCCCTCGAGACAACCTCCTCATCGACCGCTTTTGCGATCTGTTTGCGCGTGTTTGCCATGTGGTCAGTATTGGTGTTCCGCACGGTGGGAGAATTCGTTCGGGAGTGCCACTGTACCTTCTCAAACCTGTCGGCGATCATGTAACGGACCCTCCAGCTCTTGTCTTCTATCAGACTGCGAAGAGACGTCAAAAGCACACCGTGGCTGGACTGCTGCTCCTTGGGAACGACTTCGGCGATGGAAATGAGCACCTCAACGGTAAGGAGTCGGACGCTGTCCTGGTCGTCCTGCGCAAGATGCTGGAACATGGGTATCATTTCTTCAACAACAACGGCGGCGGGCATCTCCTTGAGAAACTTGGCAAGGTTTGTGGCCGACTGGCGGCGCACCATGGGGGTCTCGTCGTGGACGAGGTGACCGAAATCCCGCCGTAGCTGCTCCTGGAGCGGCGGGGCCACCTTCTTGTAGGGCGTTGTGTAGAGGCCGCATCCCGAGATCTTGGAAGTGAACCAGTCTGCCTTGGAGAGGCGGCTGGTGAGGGGTAGGAAATACTCCTCCACCTGCTTTGGTGAGAGCTCGGCGCATATCTTGTTCAGAGACTCGACGGCCTGCGAGAGTGATCTGTTAGAAACGGATACCCCCGAGACAAAAAAAGAAAAAAAAAGAAAGCCGGCCAACCACAAGAGCTATGCTGAGTCACAACAGATAGCCCTCAGATCGGTACTCAGCCGGGGCACTCAGAAACCGTACCTTGTCTCGCACAACGGGCTCCTCGATGGCAGCCAGGTTCTCAAGCGGCGACAGCAGAACGTGACCCCACTGGGGTCCGCCCACATAGTCGAGGAAGTTGCCCAGTTCCTCACTCAGGGCAACAAGGACCTCGTCTTCGTCCTCGACGGATTCTGAATATCCAGAGCTTGGTCAGAGAATGCACGCTGGTGGCAGGTGGGATGAGAGAACGAGATAGCAGGTGACAGAGTGGCAAGTTCTGGGAGGCGGCTGACCATCAAGGAAGGGAATCAGCTCCTCGCGAGTGCGCTCGGGCCCAAGCGCGAGGGCAATGGTCGAGAGTCGATGGATGGCATTGAGTCGAAGAAGGACATCATCGTGCTGCAGAGCGGCGAGCGCACGTAATCAGTTAGCCATGGGCACAGTCAAGGCGGGCAGCGTCTGTATGCTGTCATCGTGGCTGTCGTCGTTGCTCGGGCAAGTGGCATGTGTGGTGGTATATCGTGTAGGCGGCGGGGCAATCCTCCCCTCCCTTTGGGCCAACCACGCGGGCGCAGGCTCCCAAGGAGCATTCGGGGAGAGGCGGTAATCGGCGGCGGCGGCGGCGGTGGCGGCAGGGGCACAAGCACCGAGGCGACGAGAGCGCGAGGCAGAGGTGCGAGAGGAGAGCGGGGCGGGGCAGAATGAACACACCTTGAGCTCGTCAATAAGGACGGCTATCGGGTAAAGCTCGTCGCTGACATTTGGCGCGTCGGCCATGGCGAGCTTTGTTTTGTGGTGTCGGCGCGCAGCAGAGGGGAAAAAAGAAGGGAGCGGGCCTGGGGAGAGCAGAGGGACGAGCGAGCAGCGAAGGTCGAAGGTTGGCTGGCGACCGACGATGCTTCAGGGAAGATCAAATGGACTGCCGGCGATGTGGGTGTCGCGTGGCGGCGGTGGTGGGTTGGGATGGCAAAAAGGCGGGAAGCAGGCTGCTGGGAGGCGGTAGGGCGATGCAGGTCGGGCAGAGGAACAAGGCCACGGCGGGTGTGGGCTTGGCGTTGGTTGGGTCAGGCAGGTCAGGCAGTTCAGGCGCTCGAGGCCAAGCAGGGTCTATGGCCCAATGCTGCGGCTCTAAATTCGATCGCCAAATCGATGGGTTGGAGCAGTGATGCAATCCAGTTTGCGAATGTCAAAGCCAGCACTGGTGTGCTGGGAGTGACCGCTAGGGAGAGGGCAGCAGCAGGCGACTCAGGGCGGTCAAGTCTGGTGCACTGTGGAGCCCGACCAGCCTCGCCTGCGCTTTGAGGGGTGGGACATTTGATTGCGGCGGGCAGACAAAAGCATGAGCCCAGGGTTTACCGACAGCGACGTGATTCTGTCGGGCTGTTCCCTGGATGGAACCCGACTCCCGTCTCGACAGGCGAACAGGCCGTTGCTCCAGCAAACAAAATGGAGCATCTCGACTCCTATCCGTCCATACTCTCCCCCCCCTAGATAGGTTGCCTCTAGGCCCCTAGCTATGTCGGTACCTTGGCTTGGTACCTGGTACCTAGCACCATCTCAAGGTGGGGGAGCGCCACGAGCCCTGGCTCAAGGAGGTCATTCTCTTAGCAACCCGAGTCTCTGGAATTTAGAAGACTCGTACCATGGACATGATTCGCCCGGATATACTGTGTCCTAGGTTAACTGGTCCGCCCACTGGCAGCCTTTGGCCGTCTGCCTTTCACATCTTGAGTTCTTTTTTCTTCATTTTTGGGCTCCCGGCATGCTTCCATTCCTGTTCGTTGGTGAGGCAGTCGCCTCCTGAGCTAGTTGATAGCTTGCATCCAATCAAACGTCAAGGAGTCTTGCGCTTCACCCCTCATCGTTGGGCCTGCATTTCGCTGCCAGCTGAGGCGGTTAGCCTATGCTTTTTTTTGTGCCCACCGAAAGGACGACGCGCAGCTCGGATGATCGAGCCAACCGAGCCATGTCCCTTAATTCTCATAGTCCTTTACATTCTGAACACCTACTTAGTTACCCAGAAAATACTCCGAGGATGGGCATGCTTTATATCCGACCCAAGCCGGCGGCGTGGAAACGACCGTAGTCACACAAAGAACGTAAAGACAAATCTCGAGCGTCAGAGCCCATAAACTTTGAAAGCATCGCTATGACTGAATTATCGGCGCAATTACAAGCTGGGGGTACACTCCCTCGCACGGGAGTGACAAGACATCGCTGTGCCGTCTGCATTATCTCACGGAAACCAATCGAGTTCCGTGGCAAGATGTTTGTGTTTGATACAACGTAGTAAAGAAAACAAGACGAAGATAACCCCTCGTCCTCGTGCCTTAGGAGAGCTCAGTCATCTCCTGTCCAGCGTCGCCATTACCTCTTTGTGCCGATGCCGGTCGACTGTTGGAATCCCCAGGAAGCACAGTCGTGGATGTTGCGTCACCTGGAGCTCCCAGCTCGCTGGACGCGCCACCGTTGCGGCCAGGAGCACCGCCCGTGACTCCTAGGCCCCCGAGAACGCCCTTGAAGCTTTCGCCCAGCTTTAAGCTGCTTATACCGTCCTGCAAAGTTGCAAAGGTACTCGTCTCGGTTGCTGAAGCCGAGGAGCTGCGCATCAGCGTCGTCGGCCCTGGTTCCGGAGTCAGGGCTAAGTGTGCGCTTTCGGCCCCCATCAATGCAGACATGCTGTCGCTGGTGGGAGCCCCTGGCGGCCCCGCCAGCGGACTCATATGTGGCTTGGGAGATGTCGGCGCTATACTCGGCTGAGGGCTCGGGCCCCCGGATGCGGCTTGGTAGGCTGCCACCTTCTCGGCCGCTGTGGCCGCCTCGTCCAGGTGGCTGTTCATCTCTTCATCCCGCCTTGAGTAGAGCTGGTGCCACCAGCGGACCTCGCCCGCACGCGGGAACAGAATCCGCTCCTTCCCACGAACATTGTCGTCAACCACGGGGTTGTATGAAGGGTTCGTGAACTCCTGGCGCCGTGCAAGAAAGTAATTCCAGACGGATGAGCTGCGCTCATGGATCTTGGCCTCACGCCGCTGCCGCTCGTTATTGTACAGGAAGCTGCCATATTGGCACGAGTATAAATGGTACAGCAGACGACGTAGGAAACGCTCTGTGTACTCGAACCGTGTCGGGTTTTGCCGGAGGAGCTGGTAGGTGGCTTCCAAGAACTGATGGAACACGGGGCTTATTTCTTTTGGCCGGGTTGCTTGGTCCTCGGGCACGGGTGCCGTAGCCTGTCGGGCCATGTACTCATCACCAACTTCTCCATCCGAGTCGTCCTTTTCTTGGCTCAGGTTCTTTTTGAAGAAGCGCTTGGCAGAAGCCATGGCGCTCTCTAGCGCCTCATTGCGGTTGTCGTTCTCTCCAGGCTCGATCCGAGAGCCCGCCAGGGCATCGTTTTGGATGGCAAACCACTTTTCGTGGTTGAGAAATCCCGATCGTTTTTGGAACATGTGCCCGAACGACAACCAGTCCTTCTCGACAAGTACCATGAATCCATCCAGGGTTCTGTAGTAGGGATCCAACATGATCTGCGACAAGGCGCTGAGCTGGCTCGTGCGATCCCAGCCGTCTGAGCAGTGTATCAAGACGTTGGAGTGGTATATGCCCACCTGCCTGGCGATGATGTGCGAACCCTCGAGGATGCCGTTTATATGCTTGAGCCAGCCACTCTTGGCCAACAGATCCCTGTTCGGCGGGAAGGGCGAGACGTCGGCATCCTTGACCGCCTCGATGACCTTGTTCAGGGACTCGCGCATCACGTGGATATTCTCGATATTGAGAAAAACTTTCTTGGCAAACCTGTAGTAGTCCATGTTCTCAGAGCCAAGGCCGATGGCCTGCATCGCGTATGAGTTTAGAGCAGGCCGGGCATCAACAATCAGGTTTTGACGAGTCGCCCCATATATGATCCTCTTCCCCGTCGCCTCATCGAACTCGAGGGGGATGCTGGTGCCAGCGATGGCCGCGTCCTCCTGCAGCTCCGTGTCCGTCAATCCGGCCTCCGGGATGGCCACAGACGGCACATCAGGCTGACTCGTCGGGGGACTCGGTTCCGAGTTGGTGGCGCCTCCGCCTTGGTCTGGAACGGCGGCAGAGAAACAGGCACCGACAAGACGCTCGTCCTGGATGCTGCGATTTCCGCGCAGACCAACGCATGGCTGCGAGCTTCGGGTAATGACGCAGTTGTTGACGGGGTGGATGTAGGTCAGGGCCGGTATCCGCGCCCGCGAGCGGTGGTTGGCTGCGTATTTCAGAACGTTGTCTGAGATGGAGGCTGGCACCACGAGGACCTCCGGGTATGTGGGAGAGAAGACGTAATCCTTATTTATGTTTGTGATCCTCCAGCCCAGGTCCCTGGACTTTGCGCTGATCCCCTGGCGCCGAAACTCTTCCCGCGCATCGTACAGAGTCCAGCCGTTGACCGCTCGCTCGGGCCTAGCGGGCTCGTAGGAAAAGGCATAGAGTTTGTCGATGCTCCCCAGTCTGCATGTGCGAGCGCGGATGAATTCGAAGGCCTCGCGTGCAGACTTATCGTCGGGAAAGTTGAAGGTCACGTAGGTGAAATCGCGGCAGCGCAGGCGAATCGACGACGGGATGCCGCTGGCGGGCGGGGTCGGGCGGAAGGCGCAGTGACTGATAATCGGGTAGGAGATGAAGTTTTCTCGTGGCCGGGCCGGCGAGGGACTGTCTGGCGGGGGCGGGATGGAAAAGATGATGTGGTAGTCGGTGAGTTTTAATACGCCCAAGGTTGGGTTCCCTCCGCTGATGGCGTGGACACCCTCTACCGTCTGCGCCACGCACAAGGCTTCTTAGTCTCGGTCACGATTTAAGAAGCAAGACGCAGCCGCTCGGCGATGCTCTGGTACCTGTTTCATGTCCATGATGGCAGCCTCAGCCTAGTGCCTTTCGAGCCCCCGAGAGCTACGTCGTCAAGGCGTGTTCCCGAAGTAGCCCCAAGCCCGAGCAACACCGTAGAGCGCAGGCAACGATCGCTGGGCGGGCGGGTCTGTAGTTGCTAGGGACTCGAGAAACGGAGAGAGACACTGCTTCTGACGAGGGGACTCGGGCGGCCGGGAAATGGCTTAGACGAGGACGAAGAACGGAGCGGCGGAGAATGCGATGACGAATGCGAAACGAAATAAGATGGGAGCCGGAGGTGAGGGAGCAAGACCTGACTGTTCAGCACGGCATGAACGGAAAGGGCTTGCTGGCAGCGCGTCAGGCGGCAAACGGAATGCACTACCTAGGTAGGTACCTACCTACCTAGGTGGGCAAGTGAGATAGGCGCATGCAATATGATAGCTGGGAGGGAAGGGGCCCAAGAAACGGCAGTCACCAAGTCATCGGGGAGGCGGTAGTCGACAGTTGCAGGCTGGCATTGAGTACTGCCCTGCCTCTTTCCATTGCTGGGGATGCCCGAGAAAAGCGGCCATGTGGGGTCTGGCTTTCAGGGGGTCACCAGCGTGGGTGTAGCGTCACGCCCACCACAAAAAAGATGGCACTTTCTTTTGGGAATAGGGGATAGGAATAGGTAGAGAAACAGGAACAGAAACAAAAGTGAGAATAGGAGTAAAAATAAGGATAACGATAAGAATAAAAACAGTAATAGTAGTATGAGTAATAATAGGAAAAGAAAAATAAGAAGAGGGAAGCCCAAGACACTCACTGACAATTTCACTTAATCTTTGGGACCCGGAAGACTGCCATCTTTTTTGTGGTGCCCCGTGGGCGTGAGCTGTTGGGCTCCGCGTCAGTGATGTCAGCTGCCGGCGCCCAGCTCGCTCTAAGACGGTGGTGACTTCTGCGCCGAGCATGAGGGTACCTATTGACTGTGCACGTGCCACAGAGACAGCGCGTTCTCAATTGATTTTGACGCGGGGAGCAATGGGTCAGTGACCCAAGGCAGCCCACCTAGCTCCATGGCCCCACCTTAAGTTCGAGCGGGCAGCGATTAGGGCTTTGTCCCCCACTAGGAAATCGCAAAAGTTTCCAACCTCTTGGCCTGGTTGCCTTTCGGAACGAACGACGACAACCGAAACAAAGGGAGATTCTCTTGACCGCAGCACCACCAACCCGTTTCCATCGCCAATTCTACCCTCCGCAAATCTCCTCACAAAGCACAAGATGGCTACTCCCGGTGCCCAGATGTGAGTAGCTGCCGTCGACCTGTCCGCGGCCGCAAATGTGGCTTCGAAATACAAAGAGGGGGAGAAGGAGGATGAGCAGACGAGAGGCAATGGAGTGACGCAGATGTGTTGGGACGAGGCTGCGACTTGATTTTCCTTTTTTTCCCTGCGAGCCGGCCTTTACTGACGTGCTCTCCCTCTCTCTTCCAGCTCCAAGCGGAGAAAGTTCGTCGCGGACGGTGTCTTCTACGCCGAGCTGAACGAGTTCTTCCAGCGCGAGCTGGCTGAGGAGGGCTACTCGGGCGTCGAGGTCCGCGTCACGCCGACCGTGACCGACATCATCATCCGCGCGACGCACACCCAGGAGGTCCTCGGCGAGCAGGGCCGCCGCATCCGCGAGCTCACCTCGCTCATCCAGAAGCGTTTCAAGTTCCCCGAGAACTCGGTCTCACTGTATGCCGCCAAGGTCCAGAACCGCGGTCTGTCGGCCGTCGCCCAGTGCGAGTCGCTCCGCTACAAGCTCCTCAACGGTCTAGCCGTCCGCCGTGCCTGCTACGGCGTCCTGCGCTTCATCATGGAGTCGGGCGCCAAGGGTTGCGAGGTTGTCGTCTCCGGCAAGCTCCGTGCCGCCCGTGCCAAGTCCATGAAGTTCACCGACGGCTTCATGATCCACTCCGGCCAGCCCGCCAAGGACTTCATCGACAGCGCCACCCGTCACGTCCTGCTGCGCCAGGGTGTCCTGGGTATCAAGGTCAAGATCATGCGCGGCTCCGACCCCGAGGGCAAGGCCGGCCCCCAGAAGTCGCTGCCCGACGCCGTCACCATTCTCGAGCCCAAGGAGGAGCAGCCCGTCGTCCAGCCCATCAGCCAGGACTACGGTGCCAAGGCTGCTCAGGTCCAACTCGCGGCCGAGGCCCAGCGGCAAGCCGAGCAGGCGGCCGGAGGAGAGGAAGAGGAGGAGCCCACCCCCGAGCAATAGGAGCACTCGGCGGTCGGTGCGACTCCAGTTTCCGCTGTCGAGCCCGCCGGTGTTGTCACCCCGGATCCTGTCCAGTATCAGGAGTTCCAGGCCGAGGTGTACCAGTCTCAGCAATTCCAGACCCCTCCCATGGCTGTGCCCACCTCCACCCCTGTCATGAACGGCAACTACGCCTCCGAGGCCTTCCAGTCGGACCCCTTCGACGAGACCGATGGTCTGGCCAATGGCAACTACGGCGGCGCTGTCAACGGCTGGTAGACGCGAGTTGGGATTTTTTGATGGACGGCGGCGAAACGGTCAGCTCTTGGGGCGTTTATTGAGCAACATTTTCTCTCCTTCGGTTTTTTATGTCACCTCTTGCTGCATTATTCTGCGATCACGGAACGGGAAACGGAAAGCAGGTTGCGCTTCCAGGGTTCTTCAGGCTGGCTTTTGTAATTTCATGACACACGACGAACTCGGTGGGCATATGAAGGTTACAAGGGCAAGGGCAGCCAAAAACAAAAAATGACACCGAACAAACGCAGCCCTCTTTGGTTCAAAGGTGAAGACAATGTGTTTGTGACGGGTATCGGTAAGGTTTTATGAAACCCTGGCGAGGATCACATATGACCTAGCCCAAGCATTGTGCCGAGGTCACCGGGCTCAACTTACGACTGTACTCCCGCCGCCATGTAGGAAAATCATGATGCTGAGTGTCTGGCAACTGGTGGTTGAGTATCCCCAAGCGCTCGTTGCTGCCCAACATTAGCCCCAGATCTGCCTCCGACCAAGTCTTTGGTGACAAGTATTTGATCATAATTCCTTCCAAAATGGCCTCCCAGTGTACATACCTACCTATCCACCCGTACCTTGCCCGCCTACCTAGGTATCTAGTCTGGTCAAGTGGTCATTGCCGCCTTTTCAGTACACGTCTATAATAATACAGGATCGGGGAGCGAGGCACAAAAGCGTCTGCAGCCCACAACAAGGTCTCACACCTTCTAGAAACTCCCAAATAGAGAGAATCAGGCAGAAAGAAGAGAAAATAAAGCACGAAACAAAGTCCAACCATGCCCCTGAAACGCCAATGTCTGCCGCCTTATATCTCATGACTCCTCGCGAATCGCCATGACAGCACGCATGGTGCGAAAGAACTGAAGGGCGGACTATATCACATCCCAAAGGAGCGGACACTCCCTATAACCCCGGGAAAACAAAGAGAAGGAGAGAGGGAAATTCGGAAGAAAACCACAGAAATGAGATAGCATGGTACAGGCCGTGATAGGTCAACAATGGAGCCGCCCCTATTAGTCGGCTCGACCCCCTCCTAAATCATATGCAACTGCGCGACGCGGCGCATATGCACTGACATGTCACCGGTACCGTGTGCACCGGTGATATGACAACATCCAACGCTGGGCCAAGACAAGGCAGACCAACGTTTTGCTGTTGCTGGAAGTGGTCGGGACAACGAGACCCATGCAAGAGCAGAACCAAACTCCTTGATATGCCCCAGGAACCGTTGGGTAGGGCCCGCCGCTACCTCTCCGAGGATCTCCTGTTCTGCAGTTCTATTGATTCGTCGTAGCGCTTGGGAGCGGCCGCCTCTTTTGCGGCTCCGTTGGTTCGACGGGGGGCAGGGTCTTCATCGTCGCTATCGTCGGCGAGACCAGCGAGACCATGACCGGCAGCCTCCTCCTCGTCATAGGCGCGGATAAGTCCTTGTCGGTCCGCAGCGTTGCTGCCGATGCTCATCCGACGGTGGCCAGTGCTTCGTCGGGCCTCCATGCTCATCCGCGTCTGGATGCTGGAAACCATGTCGGTGCCGGTTGAGTCGGCGCCCCCTTGCCCGTTCACGAGGAGCAAGCCGGTGGGGTCGGTCCGCGAGAGGTTGAGCAGGTAAACTCCGGTGAATGTCACGAGGAAGCCGCAGAGGAGCGACAGCGTGCCGACGGGATCCGTGGTGTTGAACCCGCTGAAAAGGATGGAGGACGCGCAAAGGGTTGCGGTGGTAAAGGTAACATAGTACAAGGGGTTGACGCTATACCGACGCTCCTGTTAGGGGCTGTTCAAGCTACACCATGCTTGAAAAAGGGTGTGGGTATGTCCGTTCTGCACTCACATGTTGGTAGGGAACTGGCTGAGAGCCTTGTTGAAATAGTTCATCTGCACCAGAATGCACACCACCGTGATGATCATGAAGACATAGGTCGACGGATGTGAAAATTGGTTGCTGCCGGCAAAGGTCAGCTTCAGCGCGGTGCCAAATGCCTTGACCGACATAACCGAGACAGAGCCGACGAGAGAGCAGATGGACAGATAGATCAGCGGGTTCTTCTTTCCATGCTTGGGCGCTACCCAGTAGATCATGACCGTGGCGTAGATTGTGACGAGAGTCACATAGAGCAAGAAGCCTGTTGCGGCGCGTTCCGTTAGCATGGCGCGGATTCACGGCTAACAGGCATGGATGACGTATGATGAGAGTAGGGGTAAGCGTGGGTGCGGTGCATCACGAACCAGGCTGAAGGGCAAAGTGCAGAATCTCGTCGATGGTCGTGATGGGCTCGTCCGGGGGCGCATGGAGGACGATGATGACGGCGCCGATGAGGCATATCGCACTGCCGAGCTTGCCCAGAGTTCCCAGAAGCTCGTTCAAGAAATAGGAGCCGAGTATGGCGCCAATCAGCACCGAGAGGGCGCCTAGCGGAGTAACCAGGATGGCGGGTGCAAATGCGTATGCGGCAAAATTGCAGATCTCACCAAGAACCACTAAGGGGATGGCCAGCAAGAAAGGTCAGTACGGACAAGAAACGCCTCATCTCGTGTCATGGATGGTCCTCATCAGCAGAGGGCTCCTTACGTGTGCCGATGCCGGCCCACCATAAAGGATTCTTCAGGTAGACATATCCATCGCCCTCGAACCCGTGCCTCTCCTCGGCTTGTTGTAGTCCCTGAGAGCGGACGCGCGCGTGTCAGCCATGAGGTCTACCGCAGCGAGAGATACTAGAATCCAACCAGACAGCCAGCCATTGGTGAGCGATCTCGCGCGTCCTACCTTTTTTGTGATGACGAAACTGATGCCTATGGTGTCGCGGGGAGCGGGCTCGGTTAGACGCAGAAGATCGTGAGGGGCGAAGACGGACATGGGGCCCTCGGATGGAAAGGGCGCATACCTATGGCCAAACTGGATGTCATGGCCAGGACAAGCCCGATATATCTATTCCGGTAGGAGGTTAACACACGAGCCAATTTCTGGAAATGGCGGGCTATACGCCATCCTTGTCATGCCACGCGCGATCAGAGCACCGGCGGGCCGGGCAGGACGGCGCGAAGATGACGGTGGGACGAACGGATGCGTACTTTTCGGCGACCATGTTGGCGGTGGTGAGGCGGATGCGACGGCAGCGATGCGCGCCGCAGATCTACGTCGCCTGCTGTGCGCGTTCGGGTGGTGGGGAGGCCCAATGACGGGGCTTCGTGAGACGTTCGTGTCGTTGCGTGGTGAGCGTGGCGCGAGTGAGAAAAGACAGATCGCGGGGGGGCGCTGAGCGGTGAGTGTGACCACCGACGGTGCTCGAGTGCCAGAGCGAAGGGGCAGGTGTTGATGGTTTGGTGGGCTTGACTAGGCAAGAAGCCACCTCGTTCGCGCCGGGCGAGTGTGGGAGCAGCCAACTGAGCGTGGTAGTGGGCGGCGGCGCTGGGGCCAGCTGGATTTCGGCTGGGTGCGGCAAATGCGGCGGGGGTCCAGCTCGACAGTCCTCGCCGAGCGAGGGAATTGAGGACTTCGGGAGTGCGTCGGTCGACGTTTGTGAGCTGCGGCGTGCGCGAGCGACGGCGACAAGGCGACGAAAATACTGCGATCACTCAAAGTGAACGTGTGTCGTGTCCATCGTCAGAAAAGAGGCGGGTGGCTGCGGACAATGGGCCCGGGTGCAGTGCGCAGCAGCAGGTGTGTGGTGTGGCCAGCATGGGGCACAGCCAACGAGGAGGGAAAAAATAGAATAAGATAAAAACCCACTGGGGCTGGGGAGACTGGGGGTCTCGGTTTCGAGGGCCTAAGCAATTAGGTGATGGGTGGAAGGCGCCTCTTCCGTTTTGGGCCAACACGAGCAGGAGCCTTTGCTGTGGTGGGGATCGTGGCCTGGCAAATTGGCTGCGAGTCCACGAGTCCATCGGCTCTAAAACGGGCGGCTCAGAACTGGTGGGTACCTTAGTTTCTCCCGTGTGGGCGGGCGGGGGACAGGGGAGAGCGCTGTGAGCTCCTCCCTGAATCGGGAATCCCAGCCTCCCAATCCGCTTCCCTTGACTGGATCCTCTCCTGCCCACCTCCAGACACACGTTGGCTATATCACAGGGTCGCCCTGGGCTTGAGGAAAAGTGCGACTGATCGCATCAGAGGCACAACGATGAAGCATATGAGCATGTGAAAACCAACACTTCCCCCTTTACCCAAGCTTATCATGTCAGTCTCCTTGTCCATCACATTGTTTCCTATGTTCTTTCCTTTTGCTACGAATTTGCTGTTCGCAGCCCTGCAAGTTTCTATTTCAGGAGCTTTGATAGCTCATCTCAGCTTCGCGCATGGAGATACCAAATAGCCAAGATCGACCACCTCAAGAAACGACTTGTCGGAGTATTGGGAACTGCCTTCATCCAAATCTTTACACGATCGACAATATGGCCTTTTGTTCCCTGGTCCTTGCTGACTCGGCACGAAAGATGGACATGCCCAATTTTAGCGATCACGTCAATCCAAGCTGGTCTCTATCCTCGCCAATAACCCATTATCCATGCAAACTGGCCTTTGGATCTCCCTTTCTTGCACTCGTCTGGAACGTAGCGCCGGCTGGTTATCCTCGTGGACTACTAGAGTTCCACACCACCCCGCTATGTAGACGTGCAGCCACGTAGTCGCACAAGTTCAGAGGTTGAAGGGGCAGCATCCGAAGGAACATGCAAAAAGTGCTACCGATGTGTAAAAGGCCCAGGTAATGATTCCCAATCGAGCGGGTACTCATCTACTATCTCGTTATAATACTGCCGACAGGCTTGCGTTGCCTGGCGATGCGTTATAGATTGCATCGGGTTCCCTCCCGATGTCCTCCCCACCACCAAGCTGTTCGGGGCGTCGACGGGCGCGTGGTGTAGCCGACTGCTCGTCATCAACGAAAGGCCTCCCAACAGCGAGCCAAACCATACTACCCATCAAAGAGAACCAAAACGCCCAAAGTTAACTTAAAGGCCTAGGCTGGAAGAAATGTTCCTCGCCCGTGGCGGATATCCCCAGCCTACGCAAACACTGGGACATTCCGTCTAGAGCTAGTAAAACATCGCCCACAACGAGGCATACTAATACAATGACAGAAGAAATAGCAACATAAAAAAAGAGACGCCGAGGGAATAGAAGAAGTATCATAGGAATTGGTTAATCACTGGATGGGCGAAGAGAACACTCTCCAGTACTTGCATATACCTGCAATTCCCATGGCTTGTGAAGAATGCAAGGTGGGTGCGATATCGCCGAGTCGAGGCGATCGTGTGAAAGTCACGATACTGGAGCGAGTCGGGTGCTCGGTCGCGACCCTGGCAAGCCGCACCTTTGTTGTCGAAGCCGAGTCGTAGTTGCCAGTGATAAAAAAAAGATTTGGTCCGCACTTACCTACGGTATCACGAGCAATGGCGTAGAGGGTCGAGCTCGTGTCGGCTGTGACTTGTTGACGAGACCTGGAATCGACTGTTATGACGGCCAGGCGGTTCCGGGCGATGTGAGAGGAATTCCGAAGGGGAACATAAAAAATCAAGGGGGAATGATATAGGGATAGGGTCAGGGGGAAAGTCTGTTCAATATCCCAGGAGATGGCAGCACTACGGCCAGACCGGGGCAACAAAACGCGACAAGCTTGGGGAAAGTATCATCTCAACGGGGAGTAATGGGGTAACAAGGTAAGCATGGGCGTAGGAGGATGTTCAGGAACGATGCCGCTTGACGTCTGCCACGGTATACAACTGTTAGCATGCAATACGGTACAGACAATGCGGGGGGCGGATAGGCCGGAACAGCCAGAACGTACCGTGCCCGTCACTTGGTACCTCGCCGTCGTCCACCTCCCGAGCTCGCTTCCCAGTGTTGCTCAACGGCGTGGTTATGCCGTCAGCAACGGCACCGTCGTTTTCATGATCTTCCCAGTCGATCTCGTCGGCATCAAGCGGTTCCTTATGGGGGTTCTCAAAGCCGTCATCGAGGTGGTTATCGTCTGTAGGGTCCGCCGTCGCCAATACTTCCTCGAGATCAATCTCCTCGCCGTCAAGTGTTGCTGACGCACTGCTATGCTCCAGTAACGCGGCGTTGGCCGTGCCCGCTGCGGATTGCCGTCGGAGCATCTCAAATGGTTGATCTTCACCGACAACGGCTTCCTGGTCGTTGCCTGCATCCCCGGCTTCAGCTCCCGCTTCCCGGGGCTGGCGGGGCTCAGTATCTTGGACTGGAGAAGCGACTCTTGCATCGTGCTCGTCATCCTCCCAGGTTTCAAGATCATGGTCGTCAGCAGCCGTGTATGAAGGACCACCCACGTTGCCTTCAACCTCGCCTCCGACCTCGCCTTCAACTTGTCCATCAACTTCGCCCTTGTCAGAAGCCTCGAGTTCCTCTGTGATCAGGTCGTCGATCTGATCTAGCTCTTGGTCATCTGAGTCGACTTGTTGCTCCTCCATTCTGTATGTAGGCTCGGCCACTTCATCAACTTCCTCCAGCGCAGCGCCTGGGTTTAAATAGGCGTCAGACCTGCCCGAACCCTGATCCGAGCGGGTGTCTTCAACGTCCGACTCCGCACGCGTGTAGGCCAAGGCCTCATGGTGCTGCTCTCCTACAGCCTCGTTGTCTGTTTCATGGTCCCATAGGCTGGTAGCGGTTTCGTGAGACGCAGAATGACCGGAATGTACCGAGGTCCTCTCGTGGGCGTCATCGATCACTTGATCGTACGAGTCTCCAAGGAGGTCCTCGTCTTGATCCGCCACGTCCCCAGATTCATGCCAGTCTGATGCGGCGTCGGTGCGCGGAGGTGATTCTTGATCAATCTCTTGGTGTTCGTCAGGTTCAGCGTCCTCGTCGGGGTCCTGATCAGACTCCAAATCTGCGTTGCCATCCCCGTTGCTTGTGTGAGGGGTGCTCTCAGAAGTGATATTTTCGGAGTCTTCCCTCACAGGGAAATCTATGAGGAGGTAGTCCGGGTACGACACGTGGTAGGCTGACAGCCCTTCTCCAATACTGGCGGCATCTAGCAGGCTGTCGAGCCGCCGCATTGCGTTGGGGCGGGTGACAAGATAGACCAGCAGTACAACATCCCGGGCGTCTGGGTTGTCAGCCTTGACCAGTCGGTCATGGAGGTCGACTATAGCCCCGAAGGTTATCCGGTCGAGCGAGGATTTGTCCATCGTCTGTAGCAAATCGGGTCAGCGGGTGCTGCACAAACGAAAAGGGGTTTCAAGATGCCACATACATCGGCAAATTCAAGACCAAGTCCGTCAATCCGAATCAGGACGTCCTCGTCAGGAGTAATCTCGTCAGAAAGGACCTCGCGAAGGCCGGCAAGGAACTGTGATAGGGGGTGCTCGAGTGCTTCAAGATCTGAGAAGAAGAAGGAATAAGGGTCGTCTGACTTGGATGTCGAGAACAGCGAGTATGTTGTATCGCGATACCGGATCTGGACTTCGGGCCTGCTTGAGAATTCGTTCGAGCCTTGGTCGTCAATCTCGGCGACATCCATGTGCTCGAACTCTTCCTCGTAGGCTTCTTCCCGTTCTTCCCCGGAGATTGAACGCTCTTGGTCATGGTCATGGACAGACATATCTGTCTGGGCGGGGGGCATGGCATCTTCGGCGTCTGGATCCAAACCCACATCACCACCAAGACCAATATGGTCTTCATGGCCTTTCGCATCTAGATCAAACTCGTCTCCATCACCCTGCTGACTAGCGGGGCTGTCTGGTTCCTCGTTGGGTGGCGTTGTGTGAGTGCGATCGTTGCTGGATTCTGGATTCAAGACCGCATACTCCAGACCCGCAGATTTTTCTGGACTTTGCCTTTGACCATCGAGATAGGCCCCCTCGTTGTCGACTTGGTCGGGTTCGTGGGTTGGTCCAGACGGTTGAGCTACTTTGACGAAGGCCTCACCACTCTCCCCATCGTCTTCATAATCAATCTCTCCCACGAGATCATCATCGCCCGGCACAGAGAGTTGCGTGGTGACTGGAGATCTTGGGATCTGCAAACCCGAGGGAGACTCGTGGTTGTCTGGAATGCGACGAGGATCAACCTCTGAGACAGCGCCATGGGAAACGGCGGAGCCAGCAGTACTGTTGTTGTCCTCTCCAACCTCATCTTCAAGATGTGTACGATCGGCACCAACAGTGCTTTGGCGATCTAGGCGAGTATCGGCGGGGCCGGAAGACTCGTAGCCAGGCTCGTAGTCAAGCTCGTCTTCAACAGGCATGGTAGGAGCGCCGGCAGCTTGATCAGATGTGGGGTAGCCGATAAAGCCGTCATCTGCATCAAATGTGATGTCGTCGAGGCTTTCGTGAACCACCATGGAGGCATCTCGCTCGGTGGCGTCCTCGAAATCCGGGTCGTCCCCAAGCCCAACAGGAGCTTGGGGTTCTGCGGTAACCATGTCGACGGACATGATATTCGGCAGGGGAGGCCTGATTCAGGCACAAAAACAGTTCCGTTCGAAACTTGATGGTACTGCCTGTCGCTTTTGTCACTGGTCGGGTTCTGGATACCGGTCGGATGCGGTTTAAGTGTGTTCATGCATGGCGCTGATGGCCGTCGGTCGAGGAACGATGATTTGTAGGAGGATATGTTGCGAAAACGACCACGAGGGGGCTGCTCTGAAGCTGACCAGTTCTTTCGCGTGATCGGAGACAGATGATGAGGGCTAGGTTGCCACCTCAGGAGAGTTTGGGGTGCTCCCTGGTGGAAGTTTCGGGATACTCGCGGTCCGACGAAAGGGTGAGAATACGACGACGAATTTGGGAGAATGACAAAGGACTGGGGGTAGTTAGGGGGACAAGCAGGATGCGTGAAGGGCATAGAAAGAACAAAGGCGGAAGGAATGATATCAGGATTAGTCGTGAGGAGAGCCGACAAAGCAAAGATGCTGTTGACTGTAGGTAGTGGAGCGTAGAGGACCTGGTTGACGTTCTCAGGCTCGTTTTCAGATTGCCCAAACCCACCTTTCTGCCTGGGGGCGCATGAAACGACGCGCTACGGGAGGTTCATTGTCCTCCGTGTCGGCGACCCACATTTGATCTGGTGGGTTCGCTGTCCATGGAAGGCGGGCCCCTGTAGTGTGGCACGGCTGTTGCTGCCACACCCCCACCAGCCTCGTGGCACGGACCAAGCCCACATTTCAAGAGGACACTCTCCTGCCGTGTTGAAGACAGACGAGCCGGCGGTGCTGGACCGTGATTACTGGCACTTGGAGCTTTCGACCTCGGAAGCAGACCGTACTACAGCAGCAAATCGGACCGACCCCCCTAGTTTATCTTACCGGAAGCCCTCAGCAGCCGTCGCAGGTCGCTGGCAGACGGCAGACAGAACACCAGGCAACGACCATCCAGAACTAAGCGTTGGCAGCCGCCGCTGTTGGTCACAATGGTAGGGCCTCCCCGCTCCCCTGACAACAACCTGCGCGCTGGGACTGACGGAGCTGTGGGTAGGTGGTCCTCGCTGCTTCCATCTGCACCCGGGGCGGGAAGGCTGTCCTTTCAAGGCAGTTCCGCGAGATGCCCAGGTCGCGTATAGAAGCCTTGCTGGCATCGTTCCCCAAGCTCGCCGACAGCGGAACTCAGCACACGACGGTCGAACAGGACAGCGTTCGCTTCGTCTACCAGCCGCTGGACGAGCTCTACATGGTGCTCATCACCAACCGCCAATCCAACATCCTGCAGGATATCGACTCCCTCCATCTCTTCGCCCAGGTCGTCACCAGCATATGCAAAAGCCTAGACGAACGGGAGATCGTGAAGAATGCCTACGAGTTACTCAGCGCCTTTGATGAGCTCGTGACTCTGGGGTACAGGGAGAACCTCACCATCAGCCAGATCAAGACCTTCCTGGAGATGGAGAGCCACGAGGAGCGGATCCAGGAGATCATCGCCCGGGTAGGTCTGAGTCTCTGGATGCTGGCGAATGCGCTGAGTGGCTGACAAGCTTCGCAGAACAAAGAGCTCGAGGCGACAGAAGAGCGCAAGCGCAAGGCCAAGCAGCTCGAGATGCAGCGCAAAGAGTCGGCTCGAACCGGACGAGCTGGCGGTGCGCCCAGAACGCCCGTCTATCCGACCTACACTCCGCCTTCCCGCCCGACTGTCACAGATACGTACGACACGTACGAGGCGGAGAAGAACAAATCCAAGTATGGGTCTATTGTCAAATCCGGCCCCGTCCCATAGCAACAGCCAGCAGCGTGTTCTGACCAAAATCTCCAGGTTTACGGCACCAAAGGGCAAGGGAATGCAGCTGGGAAAGAAGTCCAAGACAACGGATATGTTCGAAAGGGTTCGAGGAGACATGGGTGCCGAGGTCGAGGATGCACCCCTCCTACCACCCACGTCCTCGGCAGCTGCGGCGGCAGCAGAGCCGGCAGCGGCTCGGCATTCCACAAGCGTCGACCGCGACGCCATTCACGTCACCGTCTCAGAGAGCATAAGCGCAAAGATATCCAGGGAGGGTGCGGTCTCTTCGTTTACGGTCAACGGCGACCTGAACCTTCGGGTGACGGACCCTAGTCTCACCAAGATCAAGCTTCACCTAACGGCCAACGCTTCGCATGGAGCCCAGTTCCGCACGCACCCCAACGTGGACCGCAACCTGTTTAACAGCTCCAAGCTGATTCAGATGAGCAAGGCGGATAGGGGTTTCCCGGTCAACAACTCTGTCGGCGTGCTGAGGTGGAGGTCGTCACCCAAGACTGATGACACCAGCTCCCTTCCGATCAGCTTCAATGTCTGGGTTAACAAGGGCCCCGACGGCAACTGCACTCTGACGGTTGAGTATGAGCTCACAGGGGGTGACGAGCTGAAGGACGTCAGCGTCGTGATCCCCTATTCGAGCGCCGAGCCGACTGTATCGAGCTTCGACACGATGTATGAGGTGTCGGGAGACACCCTTGAATGGTCGATCGGTACGGTGAGCGAGGAAAACGCAAGCGGCTCCTTCGAATTCGAAGCCGCGACAGACGACGAGACCGAGTTCTTCCCTATGAATATTCGGTTTTCCAAGACGACGCCGTTCACCGATGTTGATGTGAGTTTGATGATAACCTCTCGAGCTGCTTCAGGAGAACAATGCCTCCTCCCTCTGCTTGCGTTTGACTGACATGTTGGTGATCTCGCCTTTTAGGTACTGTCTGTTACTTTGGTGGAGGAGAACGAGGAGGTGACTTTCTCCAAGGATGTCAAGTCGACAGCGGACTCGTACTTGATTGAGTAGGCTGGGACTGGTTGCCATCTGCTTTATGGAATGGTGTGGCACATGGGTGGTCTGGTCTGATTTGTTCGTTACCAAAAGCGGGAGAACGTAGAACAAGGAAGGCAACGACGCAATGATCAAGACGATTACATAGACCTTGCACAATCCTTCACCATGGAAGTCCAAGCAAAAGGACCTTCCGGGCCCCCAACCTGGCGAGTGACTTGATGTCAATCGCTGTCTGACCTCGCATTCCAGACGCTGCATGCGTGATTTTAAATGCGACGTCAGGGGTGTGCCGCAGCCGAATCGGTGGTGGTGCTGACCTACGCCGTATGGATCGATAGCGCACTCGGACACGCAGGCTCAACAAACACCTCGACATCCATAAATGTTGGATTAACCTTGATTCTATCAACTAGGCTTGTTGCGTTGAACATTATAGTATCACCATTGTGCTAGGTACTACCAGAGCATCACCTTGGCCGCGGAAGTATCACCATGGCGGAAAGCAAGCCCATAATCAAGCTTCACTGGTGGGTTCCTGTCAATTGAGGTTCGGCTGCTGTGGCCACTATGTATGGGTTCCTATGATTCGTGTTAACTAACACGTCTTGGCTACCAACGCCACCAAAAGGCTCAATGGCTCTCGTGCTCAGGGAATCTTGTTTCTCCTTGAGGAGCTGGAGGTGCCGTATGAGCTGCAGGTCTACCACAGGACCAAGGACATGCTCGCGCCACCCGAGCTTGCCGAGCTCCACCCACTGGGCAAGTCGCCCGTGGTGACCATCACGACACAGGACTCGTCGGCGCCGCCGCTGGTGCTGGCGGAGTCCGGCTTCATCATCGACTACCTCTGCGACCACTTCGGCGCGGGCAAGAACCTCGTGCCGAAGCGCTGGAAGGACGGCCAGGAGGGCAAGCCTGGGGGAGAGACGGAGGAGTGGCTCCGGTTCCGCTATCTGCTATACTACCCAGAGGGCAGTCTCGCGCCCTACCTCTTCATGACGATCCTGCTCAATGGTAAGTTTCCGGCCGAGCCGTCTCACAACTGGCTTTCCCTTGTCGCTTGCTCTCGGGGGGACCGAGCTCTGACCGGCAGATCAACAGGCCTCAAGGGGTCTAGGATACCGTTTCTGGTCAGGCCGATCACGTCGGCGGTGGCTTCGCGGGTCATGGGCATGCTGGTCGTCCCCAACCTAAAGAAGCAGCTCGGGTTCCTGGAGAAGCAGCTCGAGACGTCACCCGGTGGCGGTGATTACCTCTGCGGCAAAGACCTGACGGCGGGAGACATCTCGCTGGCGTTCCCTATCCTGTGGGGAAAGACCGAGTTTGGGGGCATGGGCTTGACGGAGGCGGACTTTCCCCGAGCTTTCGCCTACATGGAGCGGCTCGAGGCGCGGCCGGGGTGGAAGCGAGCGGCCGACAAGATTCGAGAGATGGACGGCAGCTACTCTCTCTTGCCGCAGCATTGAGCCTATCAAGGGAGCTGGGGCTTCGCCTGGGGATCGCTGAAGGATCGATGCAGGAAGGCACAGCCACGGTTTGGCACCGGTGGTGATGTAAAATACGAGATACGAGTATATCTAGGTGGTACTTTGGGCAAGGCAGCGCCGGCTGATGTCAGCTTCAATCTTCGCTCCGAGACCCTCACAAAAAAGACGGCAGTCTTACAGGAGGTCCCAAAGACTGGGTAAATTTGTTAGTGCTATTTGATTAGTGGTGCCTCCATACCACATGCAGCTGAGGCAGGCACCGAAGGCCCCTCCCCCGCTTTTGGGCATCCTCTGCCTGTAGGCTTCAGGGCAGCCCCAGTGACAGCACAGCACCAGCGTTTATTTCACATGCAACATTTGCACAAGGTGAGCTGGGCCATCAGCAACATCAATTGATAGCCAGGGTGCCCCACGAATCGACTTGGCGACCCCCTTGTGCTACCACATCAGGCCGTGGGCGGCTTTTGGGTCCAGCAATATCGCACAGGGTCCCTTAGCCAAGGAACCAAAAATGGAAGGCACCGACGTAGCAACCCGCGATACCTAATTCGGCCGCCGCCAGATCTCCCGTCCAGTCCCTGCATGCCCGCATATCAGCGCCGCTGGAAGGCCCCCTTCGAAACAGGTGGAACTTTTATTTGAACCCAGGACCGAGCCGGCCTTTGATCCCAGGTGTTCTCACCTTTCTGCACACCAACCTGCATCCATGACGCCGTATGTTGTCCAAGTCCCAGACATCATCCACGTCACAAGCGGTCAGTGCACTAAACTAGCCCCGTGTTGGGCCCCAATCACAGCTCCCGGACAAGCTTCGAGTTGGATGCAAGGGGCAGCCCGTCTCTGGGGAAGCTGACTGTCTGGCAGATGGAGCCGCGGACCCTCTTGAAATCGCAACGAGGCAAGCCCAACAGGCGAGGAACGGGAGCTGACTTTGAGAGCCTGCCTAGCACAACGATATCCGCCCAACTGCTTGCCATAGCACCAGGCCAGGGCCCGCCATGGACATTGGGATCGTCATGGAGAAACACGGGGAGCCTCTCCTCAAGTCGACGTCGTATCGAGACCGGCACCAGCGGGAGGATGGGGACTGTGGGGAAGGGGTGCCACAGCCCCGGGAGGCCCGGAGCCACAATGAGCTGCCACGGCAGCCATCTTCACCTCGGCCGCCTCGGCCCGAGTTGACGGTGAAGTCTTTGCGGGAGCCAGATGCGGACGAGGAAGAGTTCGATGGTGACCAGGATGATGCGCAATCTCTGTTCCAGCCTGCCATAAGCCCAGTAGCCACCCGCCTCACTCTGCCCAAGACGCCCGCGGCTGAGAAGGCTGCGGCTATGGACCAAGCACTCGACGGCTTCTTTGGCCCCCTTGGCGCCATTCTCGAGACGGCACCAGCAGCTCCGGACTCGCGGGTGGCTAGCACAACATTCCTGCGGCTCCCGGATACCCCGCGCCAGGATTCGGCCGCTGCCGGAGCGCCGGGCAAACCGTCGGCTCTGGCTAGCGTGCTTGGCGACTCGAGACATCGCCGGGCTTCCTCGGTCGGGAGTGATGCGTTGAAGAGGCTATCCAAGGCTCTCCCTTCGATTTCGCTTCCCACGGGGTTCTTCCCTACTCTCTCTACACCCTCGTTCTTCTCGTCCTCGTCTTCCTCGACGCCCAACCGCCCCGACGCCCCTCCGCGCTCGCCATCAAGGCTACAGGAACAGCTTCAGATTCCAGCTGCGCCACTAAAGATCCAAGCCGCACCACCACAACAGGCCGCAGATCATGTGCGCCCTCCTCGGCCGCTCTCGGTCCGATCGTATAGGTTGCAGAGGTCCACGTCGGCCGAGTCGGTCCTGTTCGCTACCTTATCCCGAGTATCCTCATTCGGCGACGACGAGCGTTTTGGGAATGTTCGTGAGCAAGTCAACTCGCGCCTCAAGGCTGTTCTAGACAGCTTTGACCGGCCCTCATTCAAGATGCCTCAGCTACCAAGTAAGCCATCTCGCATGCCGTAAAGCCTCTACCCGTGATGTCGTGCCGTGGACCTGTAAGACTGATCAAGTGTTACGGCAGATTTGATATCCTCAGCTTCATTCATTAGGGGCCCATCCTCCATCGATGGTGCATTTGCCCAAAACCAAGCATCGCACTCTGTACCGGCATCCCTTACAGCAGCGGCCAGCAGGGACGGGCTGCCGATGCTCGACGCCGTGTTGGAAACTCTGGTCGGTGACATTGTGGTTTTAGGCGGCTATCGCGGTTCTGTCTTGCGTTCTACGGCGGCGCCACAGCCCCAGGTCTGGATACCCATGAAAGTCGGCCTGAACATGCGAAAGGTCAACCTCGAGGTTGGCCTCAACCCAGAAGATGAGGAAGGGATGGAAGATGTGATATTTCCTTCGGCCATGCTACAGAACATCGGGCCGGTAGACATCTCACGACGCCTCTTGCGTCGGATGCGCGAGAGCCCAAACGCCCGTGCTGGAAAGCTCAGAGTCCACGAGTTTGCCTACGACTGGCGGCTGAGTCCAGCTCGCTCGTCAGCCAGGATGGTGCGCTTCTTGGAGGGGCTCAGGTGCAACTCGGCTGGAACACCCAAGGATCAGCGTGGCGCCCTCGTTCTAGCTCACAGCTTGGGAGGCATGATAACGCGGCACGCCGTGAACCAGCGACCCGAGCTCTTTTCAGGTGTCGGCTACATCGGGGTCCCTCAGCGTGCCATCAACATCTTGGGCCCGCTGCGCAATGGCGACGCGGTCCTGCTGAACGAGAAGGTCCTCACTGCGAATGTCACCTTCTCGTTCCGGACCAGCTTCGTGTTTCTGCCCGAGGATGGGTTTTGCTTTGTGTCCAAGGACATGAAGGAGTCCTACAAGGTGGATTTCTACGACGCGGATTCGTGGGTGAAACACAAATTATGCCCGGTCGTGGACCCGACGACGCAGGTCACCAAAACTACTGGCAAGCGAAACAGCGCTTTGATTTCGCTACGAGATCTTACCAGCACGCTCTCTACCAACCTCCCCCTCCGCGGAAGGAGCGGCAGCGAGGCGAACGCAAACCGCAAACCGGCAGAGGCTGTCAAGGAGCGCGTCCTCGCGCCGCAGCTGGACTCGTCTTCGACAGCTGGCAGTGAGACGGAGACTCCAGCGAAGCAGAACCCCTCGACACCTCCCGAGGCTGGTGCGGAAGACCAGTGCGCCAGATCGTACGAGTACCTGAAGCGCACCCTTGCCGAGACGAAGCAGTTCCGGGCCGAGACGCAGCACGTGCCCGCCCTGAGCGAGGCCAACGCGTACCCTCCCATGGCCGTCATGTACGGCAAGGACACGCCGACCGTGTACGCGGTCCGCGTGGCCTCCCGCGACGTCATAGCCGGGCCAGAGGTGTACGACGACCTCGTCTTCCGCTCCGGAGACGGCGTGGTGCTCGCGCGCGAGGCCATGCTGCCCCACGGCTTCCACGTCGTCCGCGGCGGGCGTGTGAGCACGGAGAAAGGCCATATCTCGATGCTTGGAGACTTTCCTGCCGTCGCCCGGGTGCTCGAGGCCCTTCTTAGGGGCCGCAGGAAAGGAATCGGTCTTGGCGGCTCGTCTCCAGCGGCAGCCCCATCAAGCAGACGGTCGCCCTAGACTGGCTATCCTTTTTTTATGCCCAGGTGGCTTTTGGCTATCTCCTATAGACAGGATATTCAGAAGCCTTCATTTAGGACGGCAGGTGGCTGTTAGTAGGCGGAGATGAATTCACGTTTAGATCCGTATGTAAACAGTTTAACTCTAGTTGCTCGACATGAAAGTTTAGCCCCATCTAATAGAAGGAAGATACCTAAGAGTATGGTGTCGACTGCCAAACCCTAACCGCCAAAACTCAATGTTAAACGAAAAAAAAAAAAACTTTATTAAAAATGGAAGGAGGATGAGTGAACTTGAAAAAAAAACTATAGAACGTATGCCGTATGACTATCGTCAACATGGCTCTCGTCCCAATCTCACAGGACTCGGTCGCCCGGTCCTGAAGTGTCCACTCGACATGTATTTGATGTAGGGGGCAGCTTATGCAGAGATGGCGCATGTCTTTGGACTACCCAGGGCTGTGTTATCCCAGCTCTTTGTCGTTTTGCGGAGTAAAATCATGTTATGGGAAAAGCCAGATTGTTGTGAATTTGACGATATCCCCCCCCTCTCTCTCTTGTATCTTGTTTTGGTCAGCAGGCTTCCTGCGTCATGCGCAAAAACGCGGCCGCCTCCCTGAGCTCCAGGAACTTGCTGACGGCGGACCGGTGTATCATGTCGATCCTGCTCAGGCGGGCGTGGCCGCACCCCGCCGGGAGTTGCTGGAGCGGCTGCGACGGGTGGTGCCTCGTGCGCGGGACGACGCACTCGTGGTGGTGGTGGTGGTGGCGGTGGTGCGTCTTGCGCCTCTTGCGGCGGCGGCCGTTCCTCTCCTCCTCCTCCTCCTCCTCCTCTCCGCACCCCCGGCCCGCAGGCGCGGAGGCGGCGGCGGCGGCGGGCAGAGACATGACGCTGATCCGGGGCGGGTCCCAGGTCGGGAACGCGGCGCGCACGTCGTCGAGGGCGGCGCGCAGCTGCGCCTCCAGCAGCCGGCGGCGGGGTGCGGCGGTGGCGGCGGCGGCAGGCTCGAGCACCGGCGTCGCGGGGGCGGCGGGGATGATGACGGGGTTCCCGTCGTGCGGGACAAAGACGAGCTCCCGACAGGCGGGCAGGCGGGCGCGCACGAGGCCGAGGAGCTCGCGGGCCGAGCAGGCGGCGTGGCCCAGGGGCGGGTCGCGGCGGGACCCCGGTGCTGCTGCAACAACAACCCCCGGGATAGTAGCGGCGGCAGTGGCTGAAGCGGCGGCGGCGGCGGCGTCGACCCAGAGCAGGGCCTCGCTGAGGGCCAGGCGGCGGATCAGGCGCAGCTCGGCGGGCGGGGTGAGCGAGAGCACGGTGCGGAGCTGGCCGTCCGAGGCCATGTAGCCGTCGCGGGCGCCGAGGAAGGGCAGGTCGCGCTCCGGGTCGAACAGGACGCGGCCGGGAGCGAGGCCGCGCCGAACGACGGCCGGTAGCGCCGCAGCGCCTCGCGCCGGGACTCGTGGCAGGCGTGCAGCGCCGCGGGCGCGCGGGCCGTGGTCGTGCAGCCCGCCGTGACTGGCCGCTGCCGCTGCTGGTGGTGGCGGCGGCGGCCCGGAGCGTCTCTCGGTGACCCTGGCTCCGCTTCGTTGTCGTCGTCGTCGTCGCCTCCGCACCAGCGGAGGGGGACGACCCGGTCTTCCTCGAGAGCGAAGCTCCATATCTTGATACGTAATTCCGGTGGCAGTCTCGGGAAGCAGCGCTATATGTATAGCGATGGCCCGACAAGCAGATATTAGCCAAGTCATCAGGTCACATGCAAGGTATTTTGGGGAGGTAGGCAGGGATACAGGGATACATGGCGTGTGCGAAGTAGCTCGTATGCGCATGCGTCTGGAATAGGCAAGAGGGAGCTGACAAGGGAAAGAGGGCTGAACCTACAAAAGCCTGTCCGGTTGAGCCCCTGGTCAGGGGCGAGGCGTCCAAGTGAGGCTGCATCCGTGCGTCGTCTGGTGGCCCCCGAGGATCGCGGTCATTCTAACATCTGACAGTTACCGGGCCAGACGAGGCAGAGCAGACGATGGCAGTCATCTGCAATGCGGCAGGGTTTGTTATTGCGCGGTTGACTGTCAGACGCTGGGGCCAGGAGGAGAGTGGCGGGCGACCGGTGGGGGATGGTCCAGGACGAGGGGGGCGTGCCTTGCCGTTGCAGTGTGTCCAGTTCCACGGGAGGATAGACGGGGGGGACAGCTGCGCACTTATGAGAGGCAGCTCGCTGGGGAAAGACGAGACTCGTCCGAGGCGGTGATGAGGAGAGCGAAAGGTTGGACTGAGCTAGTCAAGGCCCACCCGAGACAATGAGGCTTCGCTGTGTAGGTGCCTACCCACGATGCCCCAAGTCGGGTGGTACAAAGGATGTCGGCGTACGCGCATACAAGCTTGAGGGCGACGTACCTCGAGAGGGCGCTGCTTCCACGTCGACGTACTGTGTATGCGCATATATATGTCCCTCGGCAGGTACCGAGAATATATGCGGGCTGGGCACCGTGGTGGGCTACGTGTGCCTGTTTATACATGCGATGTACATGCTAATTGCCAATGGCCGTGGGCCCTTTGATCTCCTCTGGAGGATGGTCGGTCGACCTAACTACACCGACCCAGGAGGTAGGTACCTGCCTACCCACCCGGGCGGTATGTACATGCAGAGGCACTGGCTTCCAACGCACGGTATCGAGGCATCATCGCTCCCATCCGTGGGTGGACCATACTAGTGGAAACCTTGTCGATTCCGGCGAAGCGGCGCCAAACAAGGAAACCCTAGGAACTAGGGCTGCAGAGGGAGGAATAGGGCTTGAAGCAGCACACCACACAGCATGCCGGCCTAGGTAGGAGAGGTTGAGGTGATACGGATGTCGGGTCCCGAATACCTGGTTATCGTCGCTGGAAAGATGGTGGGGATGACAACAACCGGCGTGGACATCCGCCCTCGTGTCTCTACGTGCAGTCGCCCTCGTGTGTTTGGGCGGGTGACCTCCCTGGCCTCCCCGCCAGGGCCACCTTTGGAGTCAAATCAGTCAGTGCCCGGGTGCAGAGCAGAGGCTGTAGGCTTCTTGCGGTGCTCATCGACGCTGGTCTCGAGGTTGCAAAACGGGTAGCTGCTGGCGTCTGGCACGGATGGGGAACAGGTGCGGCACACTATGGGCGCCCATACAAGCAGACGTATATATCTGCCTACCTACCTACTCGGTAGACAGGCATGGCCTGCTGCCTTCGTATCTCCTTAGGCGGCCCGTCCCTCTTTAGCCTGAAAGCAGAGCGAGCCGGTTGAGATATGAGGACGATTCTCCATCATCTATCACTAACGCAACGCCGAGTCAAGTTGGATCAAACACCAGACAGGGTCAGGTGAATAGCTCACAAACAGCAGCGGGCATGGCAGCGGGCATGGACACTAGCTCTCTCGGCGGGGTGCCCAAGCAGCGCTTTACCAAACAGACGACGAGGGCCAGTCGAGGTTGCACAAGACGGCTGCGCGGAAGGCTGCAGGCCAATCGGTCCTTTGCAGCGACCCAAAGTGGTCTGGCTGGAGTGCCACAGAGGCCTGATGCGGCCGTTACCCTGTTTGCCTATCTGTTTTATCAGATGTGCTGTCCGCGTGGTAGGATTCCTACATTTTGTCCAGAGGCCACCACCACCGGGCAGAGGTGATGGATAGGCACATAAGTAGGTCGTGCCGGAGCGGGCAAAGGGGCCCACCCGCGCCCGCGCATCGGTGATGCTGGCATGTTGGGACGGCTTTGCTCTCGTAAACACGGGCCAGGAGCCATTGCCCGTGGGCGGCCGTGTGCTCGTCAATGAGGTGCCGTGCCGAGACATTTGCGTGTCCAAGGGCGGGATCGAGTAGCACTGTTTGCCAGTTTCCTTCCCTGGGAGGCAAGGCGGCCGGGCCCGTGTCTGTTTGGCACATGTAGTGGTGGTGGTAGTGGTGGTAGTAGTGGTAGTAGGAGTGGTGCTGCTCGCTTTTACTTGTGCGTGCTGAATTGAAACATCAATGAGATGAGATCAATGGCTCTATTGAGATGGACCATAAGCGCTGACGGTAATGCGGGAGCTGAGGCCTGCGTTGCCCCAAAGAAAGGAAACTGGGGCCAAATCTATGTGGGCCTGCGGCACTGAGGCCTTGATTGGCCGACGACTGCCGCCCTTGGCTGCCTCTGCCCAATCAGCGCTGGCCCATCTGCACCCGCCTATTTCTGTGCCGCCCAATCTCACGCATCCCCGAGGCGCCCCCATACAGAGTCAACACCTAGCGCCGGGCAAGTGAGCCCTGTCGCGAATCAGATCAGTCGCTCAGCCAAATTTAGAGGGCGCTAACGCAGGGCATCTCGCCCGCATGCTGGCACACCACCAAGATGCTTCCCCCCGCCTCCTTGGCCTGCTTTGCCCGATGTTGCCCTGCAGTGCCGCCTCTGCTCTGCTCTGCCGCTGTTGCTATTCGTGGCTGCCATCCTCCATGTCATTGGCGGCGCCTGTCGCGACCCCCTCCTTCTCCTCTTGGGATTGCGAGTGTGCCAGCGCGCGCTTAAACAGAACCACCCACGAGACAGCCAAGTGCTCCCGCCTCCGGGTTTTTGTATAATTCGCTGCCCATCCCATCTCGGTCGAGTGCCGTTTTCCTTGAGTGGTCTCCATCTCGATATCTGTGCTTCAAGTTGAACTTCGGTTTCCTTGTCTTTTCCTTATCACGAACCACTTTCCTTTGCTTCCTCTTTTTCTTCTACTATCACTAGGTTGTTGTTCATTTCCCCGACTATTCCATTGCCAACTCCTGCTGCTTCCTTCCACTACTGGGAGTTTTAAGCTTGCCCTTCCTCCACCTATCTCACCACCAAGTCGACGGCTACACAGTCCAAAATGGCTCCCCAGCAGGTCAAGGAGAAGAGGCCTTCTGCCTCGGACTTCGAGGTCGACTCGCAAGACCTGCACCTCCAGTCCAAGGTGCGCGCCCTGCAGCACGTCGACGGCGTGCGGACTGGTCTCACGCTCCTATCCCTCCTCATGGGCATCGCCGTCCTCGGAGTCTCGGCCGATACCCTGCACGTCTATGACGCCACGCGTGTGCCCCAGGAGATGCAGGGGGTCCTCCCCCTGTGGCCGCAGGCCTTCAACCTGCGCCCGACTGTGGCTCTCGTGGTTGGCGCCGTATTCGTTGTCATCACCAACATCGTTTCTATCATGTGCAGCCGCATCACCATCGTAAGCCACAACACCACCCTCCCGGTACCGTCTACTCATCTCCCCTGCTAACACACATGTCCTGCTTTCCAGGTCCGGAACCGCGCTATGATCCACACCTCGCAATCTCTGGCCGCGCCTGTTGTTGGCCTCATTGCTGCTATCATCGCCATGATCTTCTTTTACGCCGTCAACGCGTCGAACCAGGAGGACACGCTCATCAGCTGGACCTGCCGCTGGCAAGCCCTCTCCATGATGGAGCGCCCCCACTTTGACACTCTCTGCAAGGAGAGCTGGGCAGGCCTGTACCTGGCCATCCTGCTCATCCCCGTAGAGGCCAGCGTGCTCGCCGCCGCCGTGTGGCAGGCCAAGCTCGAGAAGTACACAAGCGCCTACACGTACGCTAGGGACTCGCGCACCCCTAGCCCGCAGCCTCCCCGCGAGACTGCCTGAATGCTCACTCACGCTGGGCTGTGAGGCCGGTGGGCGTCGGGACGGGAAGTGGCCACGCGTGTGTCTTTGCAAGATCCGCCTTGCCCTTAGTACCACTGGCGGCTTTGTTTGAGCAATCGAGATGTTGCCCGTACGGGATAAAACTGCAGGCCGCCTATACGAGGCGTTGGGCTTTGTTTTTCACCTTGGATTTCTTCCGTGACTTGGTTCCCAGGTGGTTCGTTTAATATCTTCTTGGCTATGGTGGTTCTCCTTGGTCTATTATATCTACTGTTTATTTGGCGAACATTTTTATCTTGCTCTTGTCTTTCACTTTTTATTCCTCCCATCCTATCATGAACACAGACACAATGTGACACGAATAGGTACCTACCTAGTCGTGAATCTTATTACACGCCTGTCACATCCTAAAAACAAGGGAGCCTTTTAACTTTGGCTACGCCTCTGTTCCATATGGTCGCGGCAACACCCGCTGCATCATATTCATGGAGCTTTTCCTCCGTGAGTCTTGTTTGTTTCCCCGGCCAGGCGTACTGGTGGCTTTCCATTCTGCCCCATCCACGCGCTTCGCTTGGCGGCCCTTCATTTGATCGCTGTCCGTCGCCGGCCTGGCTGCAGCTGCCCGCGTCCGTGCCACCACCAATCCTTGGGCCTTGGTCCATACCTAGGTCAAGAGGCCGCCGGGACTAGAATCGGGGTGTCGCTATCCGCAAAGTCGACGGATCATTATGGGCCGCCGTGATGTCAGTGGCGGAATTTCTTCTCAACCAGGGCACCCTCTTCCCTGGAGTCCTCATGTTCTTGCTGCGACTGTTCCCAGCGGCTCCTTCAAGGGGCCCCAGCTCTGTCCCTCCCGTGGCATCTTTAGGACACACACACACACACACACCTGGTTCATATCACGACCTTGGGTACATTGTTCGCGGCAATGAAGGGAACCGAACCCTCACGCTGCGAGCGCATATGTTTTGAGTTTACACAATCAAAATACCACCTCCCGATAGTTCGAGTCTTCACACCTCGGGAAGTTGGGTTGTTGGCCCGCCGAAACCCTAGCATCCTGAACTCGTTCCGTTGGTCTTTCTTGAGACTCGAGGTCCGTCCTTGACACCGGTCACGAGCTAGTGGCGTCAAGGCGCGTGTGTCGGCGAAATTGTTTGGCATATTCCATGTCAAGATATGGAAAGACGCTAGGCCTTTCCACTGGGCCATGGGTTTAGCCTCCAATCTGGGTGGGCGTTTTGGCCGTGTTTGCGCAGATTAGCACGCAAGATGGATGGACTTCAGATCGGGGAGCCAACCCACAAGTGCGTCCCTCGCGCGTGGCGTCTTTCTTTTTTTCTTTACTTCGTACTTTCCTTACCGGGTCTTTGCGCCGCTCCTTTGGAATCCTCTTAGTTCCCCGGCTCGGGGTGGGCCAGTTGACAGGGAAGATATTGATTGCTCTCTTGATCAAACAAACAAGATGAAATGAATGTGTCTTGGCCACACCTTGTCACACCTCGATACCGGAGCTGCCGAGGTGTCCGACTACCTTGCCCACGTCCATCAGCCCGGACATATGAGGTTCTCGTTGCCAGCCAGCCGACCACCTCGCGCGTCTATTGAAGTACCAGGCTAGCTGCGGCACCCTCCTCACTTAGCCGGATAGGTAACCTTCACACCTGCCTAACGTCTCGCACCATTCATCTGCCTTCAGCTGTCTACTGTCTATCCATTCATGGGCCCATCGCAATCAACCGACACCTGAACGACATCGGCGATCGAAGATATCCTGGCTCTCCGTCCGTGCCCATAAACCATCATCTCGTCGGTGGCAGCCGACCACTGGCTAGCGCGCGCCTAACAGCATTGCCTTTTCAGCATTTGATCTCAACAGCGTTAGCAAATCGCCCGAGCCTCCCAGCCAGACGGCACTAAGCGACCCAGAGGCCCTCCGCTATCTTGGGGTGTCACGCATTGACCTCGGGCGAGCCCTTCTCTTTGGGTCGAGCCTCTGGCGGGCCCTACCAAAGTTGCGACCTTCCGTAGCTGGCTGCCGCCACGCCCACCCCCTCCTCACATCTGGCTCAGCCTCTGGGCACGGTCCTTTGGCGCGCCCGCCGGCCCTCCTCACTATACCGCGTAGCCCCGGCGCTCGCTGCAGATCCCCGGGCGGGCCAGGACCCGGCAGGGGGGGGGAGCCACGGAGCTAAGCACCCTTCCCATCCTGCGCTTTGAAGGCTGGAAAGCCATGGCTTCGGGACCAGGCGCAAGCGCTGCTCCCACGCCTACCGCAGGGGCGGAGGCTAAAGGCGGGGGAGGCGCCAGCAGCAGCAGTGGCGGTGGCAACAACTGCAGCAGCAGCAGCACTAGCACCAGCAGCGCCCATATTAAGGGCCCCGGGGAGCCTTCGGGCAGGCGTCTTCTCTCTCCAAGGTCGCTTAACCTGTCTTTTGCCCAGAGGAAGAGCGTGAAGCAGAAGCAGGGCCAGGAGAATATAGCAGAGCAGAAGCAACAGCCACCACCAGATCAGCATCGGCGACAGGTGTTGACGCACAAGCCTCAACAAGAACAGCAGCAGCAGCAGCAGCAGCAGCAGCAGCAGCAGCAACGAAAGCAGCAGGCGGCGGCGACACAGAAGGAGCCGCACAGTAAGCAAACCACCATGGCGTCCGCCAGGCCCCAGAGCACAATGATAGTCGACGGCGACTACCGCATGCTGCGGGACATCGACCGGCCGCCGCCCGGCGACCCAAGCACGCGGGTCCAGGCGACGCAGGGCAAGGCCGACATGGCCAAGCGGAGAAGCACCTATTTCGAGGACCAGTTCGCGTCGACAAAGAAGGAGAAGAACGCCGTCGCATCGTCGCTGACGGAGCGCGTCCGGAGCGAGGCCCTCGTGATGGTCGAGGTCAAAACAAACGTGATGGTAGGTCGAGTTTTTTTTTTCTGGTTGGTTGGTTGGTGTTTTGCAACTGGAACTATCTATACTGACAACAGAAACACACCGCCAAACACACAGCTCGACGACGAGTTCACCTTCATCACGCAGCTCTCGTACAACCTCTCGCTGCGCTTCCAGCGGCCCATGTCTTCCGTCGTGGTTTCGATCCAGCACGGGGCGTGCATGATGTTCGCCGGCACCTTCGACTCGGCCTACACCATGACGATCCTGGCGCTCCCGTCGCAGGTGCAGCCCACGACCAACAAGCGCAACGCGGCCCTGATCCAGAGCTACATGGAGGAGGTGCTCGGGGTCCCGCCGGCGCGCGGCCTGCTCCACTTCGTGCCCATACCCGAGGAGAACGTGGCTGTCAACGGCAAGACCATCGCGAGCGAGATCACGGAGCTGGCCAAGGAGGCCGGCGTCGAGCTCGCCGACGACGAGGACTCGGCGGCGAACAAGAGGAGGTCCAGGATGCTGCGGAATAGGCTGAGCGTCAGGGTAAGTGGGACAGCGTCCGTGCCAGTGCAGAGACATCTCCCCGTCTCTTCCTTGTCCGTCATGGGCAGCGTCTTTCCACCCCCCCCCCCCCCTGCGACATGGACTAACAAAAGGCAGCAATCGATGGGCAACTTCAACAAGCCTTCGATGCAGGACATAACTCCCCCGACCAGCGCGTCAGACACTGCGCCGCCCGTGCCGGCGCTGCCGCCCATCCCGTCGCCCCCTCCGGACCAGTACAGCCACTCGCCGCCGGGGCAGCCCCGGTCGAGCCCCACGGGCGGGCCGGGCCCGGACAGGAAGGCCGGCCGCAGAAAGAGCTTTGTTGCCAGCATCTTCGGCCGGCCCAAGGAGGGCGAGGCCCCTCCGGTGCCGCTTTAGCGTCGCCTAACCATATTGGTTTCTCCTCGCTCCTTGCTTCCTTGCCTCGTTTGATCCCCCCCAAGTCGCCCTCTCTCACCCATACACGCTCTCCGATCCGGATAGTAACCGGCACGCCACATCGCCACCTCTTGGCCATGCGTAGTTTGTTTTGCACGCCACGCTCCTTAATAGGCACACGTCCAGACAATTTTTTTTTTGTTTCGCTAGACAGTCCCCTTCATTTGGCCCATCTCCTTTGCTCTTCTTGGTCCTGGAATTATTCAGATTTTTCACATTGAGGGATGAGATATCCCGACGTGGCAAACAGCTTTGGGCTTTTTTTTTTATCTATTTATTTTTAGTTGCAGTTGTGCTCAGGGGGAGCTCACCATCTAGGAATTCGCGTCCACTTCGCCTACAGCTGAGGGGGTTTTGTTTTGCATGGTGATTTCTGGGGAGGGAACGAAAAGTAGAATGCCGACTACGATATATATGATATAGGAAACCGCTTCTACCCACAGCGAGATATCACTCTGCCCGGTCAAGATGTCGAAGAAGGCGACGAAAACTCAAAAAGTAAATCGCACCGGAGGCAAGAAGAACCTTGCGGCTTCGAGCCTGATCAGAACTGGTGGGTCCGAGTGGATGTCTGTGCACGTGCCGCTCCCAAAGTGCTCCAAATGCCTCTAGCGCTATTGGGGCCCCACAAACGCACCTCGACACGGCAGTGGCATCTCCCCTTTGGGGGAAAGTTGGAAGTTGTAGAAGTGTCGCCTGGCTTCCAATTTACCTCGTCAGCTAACCTGGCAGCAACCAATAAAGTACCTCGGCGCTTCGATCGAGGCGTGCGCCAACAAAAGTTACACGGCCGTCCAACAGATCGGCGCCCGCCAGTTAGTTGCGGACAAGTGCCGGTCGACGACCCATTCTTTTGTCATCTCCAGTAGCGTGCGACGCAGCATAACTCGCTGAGCCTGACACTCGAGGTACAGCCCCTGGCTAATATACACCGAGGGGTACCTCCCCTACCTACACCTCAATATCCCTCGTCCTTGTCTGTGCCACACAGCCATCGCCGTCTGATAGCCCGCCCCCGTCTTGATCCTGCCTCCGCTCAAAAACTCCCCATCTGTCGGCTGCTTTCGTTCTGTCCGCCCCAGATCTCGCGATTGACCGACGGCGACGCTGTTCACGGCATCCACTCATCCTGGAGAAGGTTGCCCCAACCGGCCGTCGCTGATGGAGGTGAGTCGAGTTTTTTTCTTTTTTCTCTCTCTTCGTTTATGTGATCCTGCGCCGCATTGCCTGCCCGACTGCTGCCTGCCCTTTTTGCCCGCCAACGCCCCTGGCTGACGGCAGGCAAAGTAGTCTCGCCGTCACCGCTGCTTTCACCACGACGGCTCCATCCATCTGCCGACGAGTGGCATCCATGCATGGCATTGGCCACTGGAGGGTACCGGCAGCCCGGATCTAAGTCTGGACCCGGATCTGGACCTTGATTCTTCGCCTTGACTTTGGTTCTTCGCTTTCCCTCTCTCCCTTTCTCCCCTTTCCCCGCCCTCCCCTCCCCGTTCCTCTCCTGCTCGCTTTCTCTTGTGCGCCAACTGTCGCCCACGAGGCCTGATATCGGTCCCTTCTCGGTCATGCCCGTTTGCCCGTCCTTCTGGCCTCGTGTTCTTCGTCTATGGCTGCCGCCTGGTGCCAGCTTCACAACAACACGCATGTCTCTCTTGCTCGTCGTGTCATGGGGCCAAACGCTTGCTCAATCGCCCGCCCCCTGACCACTCGGATTTCCTCCGTTATGCTTCTCCTGTTCTCACCGGTGGCTTCTGCAAGCGTTCTTTGGCCCGGAGCCCTCTCTCCCCACGCGCCGCCCTCGAGTCCGCTCCTATGGTCTCTGTTATTTGTTTTTAGTTTTGCTTTATTGCCCTCGCTGTTGTGCTCTCCAGCCAGCCCAGCAGCAGGGGACATGGGATGAGCCGCCCCCTGCACCGTTGGGCACAAAGAAGGAAAGCTACGTTGGTGCCCTGAGAGCCTGGGCTGGTTGAGTCAACCAAAGCTGTCCAGCCGCGGTCCGTCGCACTGCTGATCCGCATCCTGGCCTCCCGGCCTGTATCACCGTAAGATGCGAAACATCACTGCACACTGCCCTCGCCGGTGGAAGTTTGTCAGACTCATCACAGGGGCCGCCCGCCGCCTCTTGGTCGCTGCTTATGAGCCTGTCTACCTACCCATCTACCTGCCTGCCCTACGTACGGCTGCTATTTCGTCATGGTCGTGCCGTGCCGTGCCGCTGTCTTCCTCTCGTTCTCTGCTTTCTTTGTGTTGTTTGTCAGCCCTTCTTTACCACACGGGGCCCCGGCCCTGTAGAAAGTGGCCATCCGCTCCCCGGGGAGGCGGTGAATACGCATCGTGCTTTTTCTCTCGTAGCTTTCTTTTCTCTTGCCCTACTGCCTTTCATCCTGTCCCGTTCTGGCTTGTGGCCCTTTTTTTACCCTTGCCCTGTCTGGGGGTTCTAAAAATCCCCCCTGTTGCCTAATCACTCTTGGAGCCGGACGTGTTTGTCATCATGGCATCTGAGGATCTGCCCACTGCGTCTTCTCCCACAGCCACATCACCACGTCGCGCCGAACCCGTCAGGTTTCTTAGTCTAGCATCGCTAAATCTTGAACGCATTCACGAGCAGAACCGACAGAGAGTGCAAAGGAGAGACGTCGGCAGCACGCGGCTGCCCGATGAGCCGATAGATGCCTCGTCCAAGGGCAAACCACGGCTTTTGCTGATGGGACAGCGAAGGTGCGCCTCTTCGCCCCGAGTCCTACGCCCTGGCCCTTTTGCGTTGTGGTGTTCGTCGCTGACACGAAGCTAGGAGTGGGAAATCCTCGATATCGAGTGTGGTTTTCCACAAGCTACCACCAAACGAGACCCTGTTCCTCGAGTCGACGGCCCGCATCCAGAAGGACTCGATGGCGTAAGTAATCTGTTTCGCACCAGAGGAGCATGCGTTGCCGGTCGCTGACATGGCAATATTGAAATTGATCCCATCAGTTCCTTCATGGACTTCCAAGTGTGGGACTTTCCAGGGCAGATCGACTACTTTGACAGCCCAAACTTCGACATGGACGCGATATTTGGCGAGATAGGCGCTCTGATCTGGGTGATCGATGCCCAAGACGACTACCTGGAGGCGGTCGCGAGGTTGAACACGACCATCCTCAACCTGCAGCGGAACTACCCCAACATCAACATCGAGGTCTTCATCCACAAGGTCGACGGCCTCTCGGACGACTACAGGCTGGACATCGAGCGGGACATCACGATCCGCATCCAGGACGAGCTGTCGGACCAGGGCTTCGAAAACGCCCCGGTCCGGTTCCACCTAACCTCCATCTACAATCACAGCATCTTCGAGGCCTTCAGCAAGGTCATACAGGCGCTGATACCGCGGCTCGGCCAGCTCGAGGCCATGCTGACGGCGCTATGCCGCACGTGCCGGTTCGAGAAGGCGTACCTGTTTGACATACTCAGCAAGATCTACATCGCGACCGACAACGCGCCGGCCGACATGGCGTCGTACGAGATCTGCTCCGACTACATCGACGTCGTCGTCGACGTCCTCGAGGTCTACGGCACATGGAAGCGCCCGGCCGACTACATCGAGCGCCTAGAGCAGGACCAGCAGCAGAAGCTCGAGGACCAGGTGGCCTGCGGGTGGAACGAGAGCTGCATCGTGCTGGCCGACGACGACAAGCCCATCATGCTCCGCGAGGTCGACAACTGCCTGGCCCTCGTGGCCATCATGAAGGAGGGCACCTACGACAAGATGCCGCTCGTCAACATGAACGTTGACGTCGTCGTCAAGGGCCTGACAGAGTTTTTTGACATCACCAAGCCGAGGAAATGAGGGGTGGGTGGGTGGATGGTCCGTGGTGGCACGGGGGAGGCGATCACGGGGTAGATTAATGCCATGACGTAGGACGGGAGGGAGGGAGGGAGCACCCGAGGTGGATCAAACCGCACAACCGCGGACCTGGGTCCTCGGTTCGACGTGTGCATGCCCTGGGCAGGCCAGGTGACAGCGGCAGAGTGTCGAGGGGCGGTACTCGCCGGCACCCGATAGTTTCACAGGTCCAATATTTTATTTGCGGGCGCAATCGGGGTCCGCATCCTCGCAAATTCCTGCGGCTCTCCATGACCTGCGCATATGGATCGTATAACGAACGGGACAGCAGCGGCGGCGGCGGCGGCGGCGGCGGCGGTGGACCAGCAGTGTGCCGAAACAGAATGTAGAAAAGAAAGCTGAAAGTACCAGCAAGAAAGAAAAAGGAACCCGCCGTTAAAAAGAAGAGCCGATATCGGATGAAATAGCGTCCAAAATGCGTTTCTCATTTCTCTATAATAGATGCAGGCAATTGACCCTGCCACGACGAGCTCAGCTCGGGAGAACGGGTTCCACACACCCCGGGCGAAATTATCTCGTGACGAGACCTTTATCCCCTGTGTTTCCACCCTGAAAGCTTCATTTGAGATTTCCATAATGCGCTTTACGGCGCGCAGAAACAATGCCTTGTTCGTTGGCCAAGCTATACGGGGGTGTACAAGCACAACCCTGCCCATACGTCATCAATGTACCTAGCAAGAAAGACAAAACAGCGGGCGCGTTCCTTGACAGACCCGTCGGCAAGGCATCGAGGCTCCCGCCCAAGGTCTAAGCCGTAATGCCGTCTCATTGGCCGTCAAGGGTATGTACCAAGTATGCATGCCTGCTGCCTTCCTCCCTCCAAACTTCAAGCGGCATCCGCCCGCCCCTCCAGATCGTCAGGAACGGCAAAGACCTTGTACGTGACCTTGTCGCTGCCCAAAAGGCACACCCTGGAGGGCATGCGACCCCGGCCGCTGCTGGGCCGCTTGACCTCCATCCAGACGGGACGGAACGCGCCGCGGCCGCTGGCGGCGCCGCCGCCGCCCGAAACGTCCATGCGGGGCGACCCTGCCATGAGGTCTCCCACGCTGACCTCGTGGGCTGTAGGGGGAGTGCCGTCCGTGTAGCCCGAGAACCTGGCCTTTTGGGATTCGAGAGACAGACGGAACATGAACGGCGACGCTCCCTTCTCTATATGCGGGGAGGTTACATGTCCATTAGCAAAGGGCACAACATATGAGCCCCGAGCACTCGTGCGTGGCGGGATGGGAGGAGAGGGTCTGAAAACGCACCCTCGGGCTGCCAGAGGACGATCAGGGCGTCCTCGTTCAAAAATTTGAAGTCAACCAGCTTGCCTTCTGTGAGGGCTAGAGCGCACGCATCCGTCGTAATTTCGGTGCTCATGCCGTCAAGCATGGTGATTTTGGTGCGGAAGATGTACACTGGCCGTCCCCACGCGCGTCAGTTGAGTGTACTTGCGGCGCCGGTATGAACCGTGATTGGATAATAAAAGAAAACAAAAAAAAATACACTTACGGGCACCTTCTTGATCGCGGCGAGACAAAACAGTGTACGTTTGCGCATCCACTCCGTCCTGTCGAATCACAATCTGTACGTCAGCTGCCGCACGTCTTCACGTGGGAAGGGGATGAACGGGGTGATAACAGGACTACGTACGTCCTTGGGCAGGGAGCACACAGAAATCTCCTGCTTCGAGACGGGACCGCCGACGGCGAGCGCCGTGGGGCTGCCAAAGCGGACGCTGCGCCGCTCGGCCTCGGCGATGTCGTCGAAAACACCCTGGGCCTTGCCCTTGAGGTACCAGACCAGAAAGTCGATCCGGGGGAGAGCCTGCATGTGCGGCTCGCCGTTCTCCGCCAGCCGGATCTGCGCCTCGACGGCGTCGAGCAGCGGCGGGGGCCCGCCGTCGGCGAGTGCCTCGTCCTCGCGAAAGGCCTCCGGGTCGAGAGGCCCGAAGAACATGGCCGCGGGGCTCTGCGTCAGGAAGCGCGATATATACTCGAGGACCTTGCCGTTGTCCATGGTGGCCTCCCTCTCGGTAAGGTCGTCCGCCGCGGACGAGGCCGAGGAGGCAAGCCGGTCGATTTGGAAGCGGAGCCACGAAGAGAACATGCCAAAGAGCTCGAGCTCGTTCATGACGTGAACCAGGACCTTGTGGCACGCCAGTATCAGGCACGAGATGATCTCCAGCAGCCTGCTGATCTTGGCGGCCGAGAGCCCAACGTCGGACCGGCTGCCGTCATGGAATCTCGCGAGCCCCAAGAGCCGGCTCAGGATGATGGCGCAGCGGTCGAGGGCAGGGAGCATGTTTTCGTGTATGAGCGCCCGTATGTTCCCCAGCCCGGATGTCACTGCCTTGTCCCATCGCTTGTGTCCCCGCTCCGCAACGCTGTCTACAAGCCAGTCCTTCGTGATCGGGTGGGCGTGGCCGGTCAGAACGGTGTGATAGAGCGCCTGTATCACGCTCTTGGGACCTTCCTTGGACTGGGCGAGATCCTCCGAGACGTTTCGCAGGAACCTGGCAGGAAGATCTCTTGCCGAAGCCCACTCGGCTGCCATGTGCACCTGCGTCTGGTGGATATAGCGGAGGATCTTTTGCAAGATGGTAACCTTGGAGGCAAGCAGCGAGAGGTTGATGTGAGACGAGCACACAAAGCGAAGGTCCATGGGTACCAGATACAGCATCTCGGGCGTGTCGTCACCGGCGCGCAGGAGCAGAAAGTGTGACGACACGGCCGGGTGAGAGCCGTGGCAGACAAGACGAAGAGGCCGCGGCCCATTGGCGTCATGTGTAGACGACGGCAATGCGTACCTGAACAGGCCGACGTCAAACGTGTCGTATATGGTGAGGCGCATGGAGCCATCAACCATGCCGGCGATCATGATATCGACCTGGTCGGCCTCTTCAGCCTTGAAAGCCTTGAAAACAAATTCTAGTGAGGTTCGAGATGAAAACACAAACGTATCCTCTCTATGGCAGCCACAGTAAGCCACCATCCACACAACACTCACCTCAGAGTCGGTCGAAGTAAGGGGCGAGCAGAGAGAACGTACCCAGTTCCACCAGAGACAGGCAGGGGGCTAAGCTTTGGAAGGGATGTCTCCACGTCGAGGAATGTGACCTCACGAGGGAGATCGAGCATGTCGGACCGCTCGTCCGGGGCTACGCCATCAAGGACGCCTGGGACTAGGTCTGCCAACGCCGCCGACCGCGCGCTCTTGGCGAGGCGGGTATGAGCCTTGCCGGTCCAGTTTCGGGTCCATCCCAGATACTCGACCTTGGCCTGTGGGCTCTCGCGGGGTGATATCTGGTGCAGGGCCTTCGTGGACTCGATGCCCGTCAACCTCACCACGCCATCACTCCAGGCTACGGCCACATACTGACCTATTCCGCGAATGAACCATCAGCCTTTGCCGTACTCAAACTCCTGAGAGATATATCCATCTGATGAAGAGCAACACTATAAGCACACACCGTCTGGCTTCCAGCGTACTGCCAATATCTCGGCACCAGGGATCTGGGCGGGCTTGGAGACCTGCTCGGCGTTTGCGCGGCGGATGAAGAAAGAATTGTCGTTATCGGCCGTGGCCAGAAGGTCTAGCATGGGCGAGCAGGCAAGCTTGCCGGGCAGAACTGGGGCTGGGAGGCTGCCTGAGCTGTAGATCTGCAGCTTGAGCGACTGACGAGGCGTCATGGTGCCTTGTCCTCTTGTGAGAAGTCAGGGCACGAGCTCTGTGTACCTGGCAGAGCCACTTGCCTTGTCTCACCTCATCTCCTGTGAGCGAGGGTACTGGGAGTTGCGGAGTACTGCGCGTCGATTTCTACTGGTCTTTAGTGGTTGTCAAGTGGCGTTTTGGAGTCATTTGTTTTGGGGAATGTATATGAGGATGATGAGACCAATACACGCTCGATGTTTTTTGCTGTCCCTTTTTCCTGGTTTTGTCCGGGAGCGAGACAGTCTGTTCTCAGAGATTTTGCCCCTTCTCCCTTGAAAGTTGAGAATTTGTGTGAATTCAATATCTCGCCAACCGCCTGGACGGGCGCCTGTGTTGAAGGAATAGCAACCTGCAACAGCCCTTGAGCGTGCTGGAGTTCAGCGTGTAATTACTGCATCTTGCTGTTGGAGTGTCACAGTGCAGTGTGCGTTTCCTTACCGTGTAACCAGGTGGGTTGGGCGGACCAAACTGTGGCGTCAATGTGGCTCGTGCTTCCATTCGGCACAAGCGCAATTGAAGCCTCACCCCAAGACGACGGGGCAGCGCAGACGGCAGTCATTAGAACAACCAGAGCCTGCGAGTCCCCAGCGCAGCTCCCACGAGACCGAACAGATCGAGACCGCAACGTCGAAAGCCGCGGCCGGCGTCACCTTCAAGATGGCGGGCCTGGAGCATAACAGTGAGCCTGTCCTGGCCTTCCAATTGAGCCGCCCGCGTCCACCTGCTAACATGGCAACCCCCCTCGATCTATAGAGATGGCGATGGACCCGGCCATCCTCAAGCTGGGACGTAAGTTGCCGCTGCCCTCCCGGCTCCCCCACCAACCTCCCACGCCCAGGCTTGGGCGCGCGCCAGGACCTGACCGAACCTCACTCGCCGGGCTACAGAGATGCAGACGAACCGCTACAAGTTCTTCCGATGGACTCCGCGCACGGCAAATATCACGCTCATGTACGTCGTCGTCGTGCCCGCCATACTGGGCGTCATCGCATACAAGACAGATGTAAGCCACCTTGCACGCCCCCCGAATCCGCCACTACAAGCCACCCGGCTGTGTGCTGACCCCCATCTTGCGCGCGGACAGGGCAAGTGGGATTTCAGGGCAAAGAGGAAGGGAGACGACATCCGGGAGTTCTAGAGCCAGGACGACCACAACATGTACATACGGCCTCCAAGACGAGAGGATTGAAAAACAATAACCTTCCGACTGCTCCCCAATCTCGCCCAGAGTGTTCACAGCATATGTCTATCTTGGTGGTCTGGGTCGGTTTGGGAGAAACCATCGGGGACCGGCGTCTCTATTTCGCACCGTCACTGCGCTTGAACCTTTTGCGACAGCTGACAGGAACAGCCTCCGGCTTGACTACAAACAGCGAAATTTGGACTACGTAGGCGGACTGCGAAGGGTTACGGCTGGGCTAGCGATCTCTATACCTCGACCTCGAACGTGAACCCCTGCTACCACCACTCATGGGCACGTTAGGTAGGTTCTCTCCACGGCGCCATTCTCCTGCAGGTATACTAGCGCCAAACGGCCTTTCTCCCCGAGACTCATAATCAGCAGGCCATGGCTCGTTCCTCCGCGAAGCCTTAGTGCTGCTGCCGCCACGACGGTCGTCCACGCCCACTCCTCCTCCCCGGCTAGACCGCGGCGGGCCCAGAGAATCGCCCGCCCCAGGCCCCGGCCCAACGGCGCCTGCCTCGCCGACTCCGCAGCCTCGGCCAGACCTGGCGCTGTCTGCAAGGGCCACAGAACCGTCGTCCAGGGGCGGCAGTATCGCGCAGCTGATGTAATCCCCCACGATGAACTTGATGTCGTCGAGCGTCTTGTGCGTAACAACTTCCGGCTCGGGCTGGGGCGCCGCCCTGGGCGCATCCTCCTCCTGGAAACCCTCGTCGAAAGCGCCTTCTTCAGCCGTGAGATCGATGGCGGTCGCGGCGGCGTTCCCTTGGACCCCGGGCCCGCCCTCGCCCAGTACCATACTCCCCAGGTCCTTAACGACGAAGCGGTGCTGCGCGTTGGTGTCGCGGTAGATCAGCCTGAAGGCCAGGCGCGTGCCGATGCAAGGGTGCGGCAGGAGCTCCTGCTCGCTGTTCGCCAGGTGGTGCGAGAGCTCCTCGAACGTGGCCGTCCGCCATGTGTGGATCTCCAGGTGCGGCGGGAGGGTGTGCGATGCGAACTCGTCGGGCCTGCGGGTTTCGGTTTCGAATGCGTTCAGAAAATATTCCACCACCGCCCCAAGTCGCCATCGCTTTTTTTTCGGTTTGCGCAGCGAGGCAATAGCGACGACCTACCTGTGGAACGCTCCGGTGCGAAAGAAGAGCTTGAGTAGGAAGGGCGCGGTTTTCCTCCGGTCCTCGGTCCTGCCGTCCATGTCATCCATGGTGCAATTAGAAGCGCGCGGGCCTAGGGGGAGGCTCGCAAGGCCAAATGTGAATTCACATGGCAAAGGCGGAGGTGAGGGTTGGTGCAAATGGGATCGAGGTTGGCAAAGGCGGATGCAGGATGCAAGTACCCCGGTCCGTGAGACCCATTCACACGCCCACCTGGCAATGTGGGGCCGCTGAGCTCCCGCGACCGAACAATCCTCAACCATTCGGAATTGGACTTCTCTTCCCCAGACCGTTCTCCCGAAATACAACCCAGGTGCTACAACCAGACCTGCGACTTCGATCCAACCCTCGGCACTACATCCACGAAGCCGCCGCAGGGGAACTACCCTCCGACCCAACCCCCGATCCCCGCCCCTTCGTCCGCAGCTGACCGAGCCAGCAGCCCATCATGGATTTCGCAGCCATGATGGCGGCGCAGATCGCCAAGGCCAAAGGCACGACAACGCCCAAAGCCGGCGACAAGCCCGTTGACGACAAGCCCGTCGGCGACAAGCCAGTCGATCCAGCACAGTCGGCGGCCGCCCCCGCAAAAAAGTTCCTCAGCAACGCCGAGGCCGAGCGGCAGCGGGAGGCGGCGTACCGCGCGGAGCAGGCGCGGCTGGCGGCGGAGCGCGAGGCCAGGGCGGCGGCCAAGCGCAAGCGCGAGGACGACGCGGCGGCCGAGGCCAAGGCGCGCGAGGAGAAGC